GGAGGATGGAGCCAGACTCTTTCCAGTGGTTCCCAGTGACAGGACGAGGGGCAACGGGCACAAGCTGGACCATGGGAAGTTCCACTGAAATCTGAGGAAGAACTTGTTTGGGGTGAGGGTGGCAGAGCCCTGGCAGAGGCTGCCCAGGGAGGGTGTGGAGTCCCCTTCTCTGGAGATCTTCAAGCCCTGCCTGGATGCTCCTGAGTGATGTGCTCTGGGCAGCCCTGCTTTGGCAGGAGGTTGGACTGGATGATCCCTAGAGGTCCCTTCCAGCTCTGACAATTCCCTGATTCCGTGACCCAGCTCCTTTTTGGCTGCACAGAATGAGCACAGTCACTTTCCAGACTACACCTTTCACTGATCATTCTGGGGGGGTTGTTGCAAAGGTCACAGTGTTTAGTGTCAGCCAAATGGAAATGGATTGAGGGAAAAGGACCCAAAGTGTTCCCCAGACCAACTCCCAGCTTTTCAACTCCTTGCGCTCGCCCGTGCGGGCTCTTTATACCAGAGTTATAAAGTCACCAAAATTGGGAGTAACAGGGAAAGGGTAAGTTGTTTCTGTGGGTGGTTAAGGGGAAGGACTTGTGTGTGTGGGACGGAAAGGCAGACGAATCCTGAACAGGCAAATGGGCTGCAGAAATCGCTACTTCAGTGAGCACTTCTAGAGCTGCGACACGGGGGATAAATATTTGTCTCTGCGGAGACTCATGGTCGTTGCTCTTCCCCTCAAACTTGGCCCATTTACGCAGGGCTCTTGTTATTTTCATCCCGTTGGGATAGAAGGGAAAATAATGTCCAAAAAGAAGAGAAATCTCTACTGTCTAAGGGCCGTTTGCCCACGTGTGCTCCCGGGAGATCCCGAACGACTCCGACCATTCCCGGATTCCGAGAACGAAGGGGGCGTGGCCTCTCCTCAAATGGGCGTGGTTTCTCCGCTTGGGGGCGTGGTTTCTCCGCTTGGGGGCGTGGTTGCTTGTGGTCGTTGCTTTTCCCCTCAAACTTGGCCCCTTTACGCAGGACTCTTGTTTATTTTTATTCAGTTGGGATAGAAGGGAAAATAATGTCCAAAAAAAAGAGAAATCTCTACTGTCTAAGGGCCGTTTGCCCACGTGTGCTCCCGGGAGATCCCGAACGACTCCGACCATTCCCGGATTCCGAGAACGAAGGGGGCGTGGCCTCTCCTCAAATGGGCGTGGTTTCTCCGCTTGGGGGCGTGGTTTCTCCGCTTGGGGGCGTGGTTTCCCCCCTTTGGGGCGTGGCCTCCCCACCGGGCGGGGCGGGGCGCTGGGGCCGCCCGTTGCCATGGCACCGAGTGTGGGGGGGCGGCCCGGCCGCGCGCCGCATGGAGGCGGCCGCCGCCGCCCCGGTGGGTGCCCGGGACCGGGGGTGGGGAGGGAGGGACACGGACGGTGATCTCCGGGCCTCCCGCCCCGCTCACGGTTCCTCTCGGTTCCCCCGCAGGCGGAGGCCCCGGTACCGGCAGAGACCGTCCGCCGCTGGCTGCGGGCGGAGGGGGCCGATCCCGCCGCCCCGGCCGAGGAGCAGCTGGGCCTGGCCTGGCGGCTGCTGCGACGCGCCGAGGCCCGGCTGGGAGACCTGGAGCGGCGGAGGGCGGAGGAGATGAGAGACGTAAGGGCCGGAGGTTACCCCGCCGGGTTTTAGCTCAGCCGGGCCCAAACGCACCCGTTTTCCCCGCTTTTTGCCGCAGAAGCAACTTCGCGGGGGCTCCCAGCCCGGGGCCGCGTCCCTCTTGCCCAGTTCCTCACCTGGGGAAGCCGCAAAGCACCCAGCGAGCCCAGCTTCTCCCAGCAGGCTGGGGTCAGGAGCCCCCCGCACCCCAGCACCTCCATCCCCTCCCACTTTCCACACCTTGCATAGAATCACAGGATGGTTGGAGTTGGAAGGGACCTTAAAGATCATGGAGTTCCCACCCCCTGCCCTGGGCAGGGACACCTCCCACCACACCAGGTCCCTCCAAGCCCCCTCCAACCTGCCCTTGAACCCCTCCAGGGATGGGGCAGCCACAGCTTCTCTGGGCAACCTGGGCCAGGCTCTCACCACCCTCACACCAAACAAGTTCTTTCTGGTATCTAATCTAAATCTCCCCTCTTCCAATTTAAAACCATTACCCCTTGTCCTTTCAGTCCAGTTTTTAACATCCCCAGGCCTCACAAAGGCACAGAGAAGCGGCGTCCTGCAAATCTTTGAGGTTATCCTCAGTATGGGGGGACGGAGAGCGATTTGCACCAGCCTCTTGCCCTCTGTGTGTTGGTAAACACGCTGGGGTACAGCCATGTTTTCTGTATTTCCAGGTGGAAAGCTACGTGGGCCACGTCCGCACCCTGACGGAGGAACGGGACGCTCTCACCACTGAATATGAAATGGAAAATGAGCAGCTCAGGCTTGAGCTGCAGCAGCTGCAGCTGCAGCAGGGTAATCCTTCCCCTCCGAAACGCGGCCTGAGGACAGGCAGTGACAGGCAGTGGTGTACAGGTGTTTCAGCAGAGCCATTTTGAAGATGCTTTGAGAGCAGAGCTGTGTTTCTCAGCCAGTTCTACTAGAGCAGCCTGTGTGGTTCGTTGTTTGGGAGGTTGACAGAAGCGTTAATGAACTAATAGAACTGATTTGTAATTGACTTAGAGGCTCTCGCCCGCTTTTACTGCCTTTATTCAGTGAATCGGGCAGTTTCTCACTCTGTTGTTGCACTAAGCATCTTCCAGAGGTTGTTGAAGAACAGAATTGATGCTGATCTTTGTTTCCCAACTCTGAATTAATTGGCAGTGACTCCTCAGGTAACTGACTGTCGAGCTGTGTTCCCAGGGAAGTCAGTGAATTTGCTGTTGGCTTTGGTTTAGATAAAGTCCATGCTTTTTAAAACAACTTTGAAGGATGGTGATATGTTTGTGATGGCGATTCAGAACTCGCCCCGAGTGCTTATTTCAGTGTGGTCATTTTGTTTAAAACAAATTATTTTGCTTCACATGATTTGCTTTCTTCTCAAACCCAGGAATCACTTCCAGTGAGGGCAAATATATTTTGTTGGGTTTAGTTCTTGATTTTCTTCAGTCTTCGTAATCTGTTGTGCTTTGGGTACTGCTAATAGCAGCGCACCGTGATCATTAACTTCTGCTTTTGTAGTGTGTGTTGTAAAATTGGGGGTGATAGCACAGCTTGAAGAATCTCTTTGCTATGCATGCTATATTTGGGGCAGCAAATAGGGGAGTTTTGGGGAATTAAGTGCAGGTTTGAGTCTGTGTTCAGTTTTGGCCAGCTGGTGGCTTTCAGGGAGCGCAGCTGATGGGACTTCTCAAAGATGGGTGTGCTTAAGTGCTGCCTGAAAATCTGGTTCCTCCGGGCACGTAAAGCCATCGTTTGGTGTTGAAAATGCACGAGGATTTAAATAACTAATGAGCCTTCACGAGTACTTCCCCGGCAGAGAACTTTATTACTGGTTCTTCTCTCATCTTCCCCACGAGGTGGCAGGCAAATGACAAAAATGTGCCAAAAGTTGGCTTTGCATTTATTTCCTGGTCGTGGCTCTGCTTCTTTGGACTTTTCCCATTTTTTAGGGATTTTTATGGCTGTTGAGCAATGATTAACACTCAAACGGAAACAGAACCATGTCCATTCCCCTGCTGGGTTGCTAATTGCGAGCAAGCCGTCCCCGAGGAGGTTTTGTGGTTCTGTGGTGCTTTGGTGCTGTACAGAGCTGCTGTGCAGCTTCCTGGAGGAGTTTTCTTTGGGATATCACTGTCAGACTTGGGTTTTTAAAACTTGTTGTTGCCTTACTGATGGCATTAGCCATGGTCCTGCGATCTGCATTGGTAATTTAGGGCTCTGGGCAGTGGGTGAAGCCCTGCCTTCCATCAGGCTGTCCTCTGCAGTGAGGGATGCCAGCCCTGCTGTGTTTTGGGATGCTTGTAAATCATTTTCTTGAGGGACCAGACTTTTGCTTCTCACGTCAGCCTCTTCACTGGAAAAAAGCACTGCCCATCTCTGCTGCTGCTTGTACTTGAGAAAGTACAGCTGCTGCTGTACTTTCTCAAAGACATCTGCCAGACCTTTGCCTGCTCCAAGGCTCTATGTAACCTCTGCTGCAGGGTTTGGTGCTGCATCGCTGCAGTTGTTCCCTGGGCCTCTGCTTTTCAGCAGAGTTTGGGTGAACTAACTCAGAGATGCCTCCTGAGCCCTGTGGGGTGTAGGTCTTGAGGAGGTCTTGAGCTGAGAGAGTTGGGGGGGTTCAGCCTGGAGAAGAGAAGGCTCCGGGGAGACCTTAGAGCCCCTTCCAGTCCCTAAAAGGGCTCCAGGAAAGATGGGGAGGGACTCTTGATTAGGGAAGGGAGCCACGGGACGAGGGGGAAGGGTTTGACCCTGAAAGAGGGGAGATGGAGCTGAGATGTGGGGCAGAACTTGTTTGGTGTGAGGGTGGTGAGAGCCTGGCCCAGGTTGGCCAGAGAAGCTGTGGCTGCCCCATCCCTGGAGGGGTTCAAGGGCAGGTTGGAGGGGGCTTGGAGGGACCTGGTGTGGTGGGAGGTGTCCCTGCCCAGGGCAGGGGGTGGCACTGGATGGTCTTTAAGGTCCCTTCCAACCCAAACCAAACCATTCTATGAACTAGAAGTTGTTTGTCCTCTGGGTCTTACTCCCCCTCTTATTTTTGTGGGGAGCTGGCTGTCTGTATTAGGGACAAGAAGATACTGCAGATGGGGCTGGAGAAGGGTCTCATGGAAAGGCAGACCCCATTCTACTGGGACTGTTAAACTGTGGGCAAGGCAAGAAGAAAGAATGGTGGTCCGGAGCCTTTGGGAAGTGGTGATAAGTTCAGGTGGGAAAGGGCAGTTGAGGACAGAGGCTGGTTCAAGCCTGGTACAAAGGAGAGGCCTGACCCAAATGGTGAGGTGTGAGTGGCCAGGATCTCTCCTGACCTTGTGACAGTTGGGGGTCCCAGCTCTGGGGGGCTGAGGGATGGGGAAGGGATGAGGCAAAGTCTTGGATGAAGGCAGGACATCTCTTGAGGGGGGCTCTCAGGGCTGAGTGCACTCCCTCTTCCCAAAGCAGCCAAATGGGTCAGAGGCTCTGTTTGCTCTGAGGATCACTGGGAGCAATTCAATCTGCAAAAAGCTGTTTCTGGTGATAAAATGTAAGTTTGTCCTTCTACTTCTTGCCTGGAACGGGCTCGAAGGGTTACTGCGGGGAGCAGCCACTGCTGGTTTTGTGTCGGGCTATTGATCCGAGCGTTACCTCATTTGGTACCTCTGCCCAGAGTGACATTTTTCCTTTCCTCGAGGCAGTTCGTCACCCGTTCCCGATGGTTCTCGTCGAATACGCCGCGGTGTTTTGGAGGGCAGATCGATAGCTCATGTGCTGCATTACCAAAAGCCTTTCTGGAAAAACAAATGTAGCTGCAGTAAAACACTGTGGAGGGTTTGCCTCGATTTGTTTAAAAAGCGAAGCAAAAAGAATAAATAGTCGTAGACTGATTTTGTTTATTTTAGGGGCTGAACTGCTTAAATGTACCCAGCGTGGAGGAGGGGATGTGGCTTCTGTGGTGGGGGTGAGGGTACTGGTGAACTGCTTGTTTCTGAGAAATTTGCTGGGATACGACACCTTTGCAAATATAAAACTCCCTTCCAAGGAAGCGGGTGCTGCAGGAGGTGCTGCAGGAGGTGCTTCCTCGTAGGAACCCGTCCCTGCAGTGGTGTGACGTTGCTGGTACCAGGTGTTTGCCCTTCCCAAACAGGACATATCGAATGTTGAAGGGAATGTGTTTGAGATATTCTGAAGAATCTAGTGGGCTTTTCCAAGCAGGGGATCTGTGCTGTGTAGGGCAGGCTCCTCTCATCCTCCCAAATCACTTTTTTCCTCTTCAGCCTGCGGGGTTATTCAGCCTGGAGAAGAGGAGGCTGAGGGGAGACCTTATTGCTCTCTCCAACTCCCTGAAAGGAGGGTGTAGAGAGGTGGGGGTCGGTCTCTTTTCTCAAGTCACAGGTGACAGGACGAGAGGAAATGGCCTCAAGTTGCACCAGGGGAGGTTCAGGCTGGATATTAGGAAAAATTTTTTCACTGAAAGGGTTCTCAACCATTGGAATGGGCTGCCCAGGGAGGTGGTTGAGGCCCCATCCCTGGAGGTGTTCAAAAGCCGTGTTGATGTAGTGCTGGGAGGTATGGTTTAGTGATGATGCTCCTTGTCTGTTGTGTGGGTGACTATTTTTGTCAGTTCGGTTGACGGTTGGACAAGATGATCTTTAAGGTCCCTTCCAACCTAGAAGATTCTGTGATTCTGTGAAAATTTCTAGATCCCATTACCCAAACTGTGGGGCTTTGTGTTGTGTTGCAGGTTGGGTGCAGGGGAAGCGCTCGCAAGCGAAGCTGTCAGGGTGGGAGCCACCACAGGAGATCAGAGAATTGGTCCTAAAGGGAGATGCTTGTCCCATTTCTGACCATAAAGCAGAGCAACTTTTGGCTTATTTTTGGCAAAACTATGGGAGGAAATTGCAAGGCAGGCGGGAGCAAGGGGAGGGTTCAGTGGGGTATGATCTGAGGGCTCTTCACAATGCCTGGGGAGCAAGTGGCCAGCTATTTTTAAACAGCAAAACGCAGTGTTTTGCTCTGCTCCACGCAGGAGCGCTGCGCCTCGGCCGGGTTTGACCCCCCATCGAACAAGCTGTGATTTGTAACCCCAGGGGAAGGCGGACGGGGAACCGCAGGGTGTTTTCCATCCATAGGGCTGGCCACAGCCGGCCCCGAACACGGAGTGGAAACATGCCATTGATTGGAGCCTTAGGATGCGATTGCACTGGGTCCTCTGCTAAATCCAGGGTATGGAAGTCAGGAACAGGCTTGTCCACAGCTGTGCACGGATCCTGTGTAAGAATACGAGGAATATTTCCTCGGCTTAACTTTTGATGTCCAACTCCAGCTCCCTAAGCAGTGGAAGAGTGTAAATATCCCTCATTTCTTCATACAGAGCCCACAACTCCTCCTGGTTCCCCTCCTGCAGCACTTGGAAACCTTTACAGTCTTGTCTGGGCTAGAAATTTGGAGCAGGGTTTGTTGGTTTTCTTTTTAATATGAATTAAATAGGGAGGTTTTGAAAAACCCTTCTATAGTGTAACAAGCTGTTGGATCCAGCGCAGGCGTTGCTGCCCTGACCATGCAGGAGACCAAAGGTTCCTCTTGTTCTCCTGGCAGATAAATTTCAACCATGCAAATGAGGGGCTCTTTTTAACGACTGTTTGTTGCACAAACACAACAGTGCCAATGTTGTTGTCATCTATTTGCCTTGGAGACCATTGAATCTTGATGCTTTTCCCAGTACAGAGTTTTCCTAGCTATAGTTTTGGGATAAACAGTGAAGAACTGACAGTTTAATTCTAAAAGGATGTTTTGCTCCTTTAATTCATAGAATCACAGAATGGTTCAGGTTAGAAAGGACCTTAAAGCCCCCCCAGTGCCACCCCCTGCCCTGGGCAGGGACACCTCCCACCACACCAGCTCCCTCCAAGCCCCCTCCAACCTGGCCTTGAACCCCTCCAGGGATGGGGCAGCCACAGCTTCTCGGGGCAACCTGGGCCAGGCTCTCACCACCCTCACACCAAACAAGTTCTGCCCCACAGCTCAGCTCCATCTCCCCTCTTGCAGGGTCAAACCCTTCCCCCATGTCCTGTCTCGTACAGGAGACCTTCAAACAGCAGGTCTGTGTCACCAGAAGCAGTCCTTAGTCTGAGTTTATGGCTGGTTTTGGAAGAATGGGTCAGGAATACTGTTAAGGGAGTGGTTTCTAAGATCATATTTTAAGAAGCACTCCGAGTCCCTTTGTGTCCATCAGGTCCTCGAAATGTTCAGGCCCTTGGTTCCTCACTGTGCTTTTGTACTGTATCACATGGCATCCAGCACCCTGATCTCCACCACGGGCTGCGCACAATGCACCAGGTGTGGGGAAAAGTGGGATATTCAGATCCACCTCCCTCCCAGACAGTCCTTGGGAAAATAGTGACTTTCTCCTTAGATGAATGATGCGGTATTTTGTGTCTCTTCTTCCACAGAAAATGTTTCTGTGGTCGCCTGTCCATCTGGTTTCTCTCAATGCCTTTTTAATTTGTTGTTTAATTTCCACCAAACTGTATTAAGGGGTAAAAGGGCTGTGGATAACCAGGTTGGTGAAACTTAGCTGCTGGGTAGAGGAAAACGATGGTACCAACTCTCCCACTTAAGGCAAGGCAGGAGAAGTCAGTCGAGATGGAGCAGGTCCTATCACTGGCGTGGCAGGGAGGGGTGGTGGGTCTGAGCAGAAGCTCTGGGAGAGCTCAGAATCTTTGGGACAGTGGGAATTGGGCTGAGATAAGAACAGGGGACAGGAGGTGGGATGGGAGGTGGGAAGCAGGAGAAGAGACAAAACGCTTTATGAGCTGTTGGGGAGCTCCAGGGCTGTTGCAGTGGGGAGTGTTTACGGGGAGTGTTTAGAGGAGCCAGGGTGCAGGTCCATAAGGAATCAGGCTTCATTTGTTGCTCTGCTCACAAAAGGCCTTGTCTTGCAGAAGCCCAGCTGAAGGAGGTGGAGGAGATGCTGGAACAGGAAGGCTTGTCTGAAATAGCTCACAGTAATGCCAGCGAACAGATCGCTTACTTACTGGTAGAAAGAACGACGCTGCTGGAGAAACTGGAGATGGCAGAGCAGAAGCTGAGTTCACCCAGCTGCATCGACGGGCTGTGCGCGGCACCGCTTCAGGTACCTCCTGCTGCTCAGGCTGGGGAAAAGATTGAGATGTTCATTTCAAGTAAAAATATTTCTTCTATCTGTGAGGGCACTGTGGATTCTTAACACTGAAGTTGATTTCTTTATTGGTTTTTACACTTGATTTGCTCCCCCATCTCGCATAGGGATAGTGAATAGGATTAATTTTAACAGAGCCAGTGTTGAAGAGTTCGTGATAGAGTTGATCTGAGGATTTTCACTGGGTAATAAGGACTTTCTACTAATCCAAATTTCTTGATGTATTTAATTACTATTTAATTCCAGATGACTGAGCTCTCTTGAAAATCATTTATTTAAGAAAAACAAACCTTTCCATACTTTAGGTGAGATTAAAACTCTTTCCTTGTCTTCTAGCTGCTCAGCTGGTGGGTGGAAGTTGAGCAAAAACCTCTGTTAACAAACCGAGTTCTGTGGATAAATTTCACAGTGTGACTCGATGATGGGCAGGTTAGAGAGGACCATCCATGGTCCTCTTACTTTCTGAGGTGGAGATGAAGAACACTGACAAGTGGTGGAGCAGCAGCAGGTACTGCATGTTGGAGAGGCAGTTTGTGACCCATCTCAGCCAGGGAGATCTCCCTCCCACCAAGGGCACCAATTCCCCCTGGGAATATGGCCTTTTCCCAGAGCTGGAGCCCAGGGGCTGTTGGCTTTTGTAGCTGTTTCTTCTGCATTGCTGTTCCTTCTGGCCTTGCCCATAACTTTCAGACAGCAATGGCTGTAGGATGGACAGGAGCATAAAAATTGCTGTGCCGGGTCAGGTCTAGACCCTGTTTCATCCTGCAGTGTTTGTGATACAGAGCGTTCAGTTTGTCTTCTTTTTCCCATTCTCCTTCTGCCACTTCAGAAGTGACCAGGCCAGGTTGTCCCCATGGAGATAGAGGGGTCACTCCTGCCTGGGGATGCAGTGGGTGAGCTTAGGGGAGAGGCTGCAGGCTGTGAGGGGGGACACGGGAGGGCTGGGAGCTGCAGCCCCTGCGAAGAGCAGCCGGTCAGGATTCACCAGAAAGGCCTCCTGGGGACAGAGGGGACCGGCAGGGTTTGGTCACCTCCAGGGTGCAGTTGGCTGGGGCAGAAGCAGGTGGAAGACTTGCAGACAGACCCCTTCAAGGCAGCGACAGAAGATGAGACAGCAATGAGCTTTCTACAGTTTTAATTTTCTAGTTTTCCATTCTGATAGAGCTGGTTTGGAGTTGAGAAAGCTCCTTGGCCTTTTTGGGGGGGAGCTCGCTGAAGGACCTGCTGCAAAACTCAGCTCGGTTTGGGCTCTGTTGCATCACCTGACCAGAAGCCAAATGCACAACCCCAGAAGACATGTTCATAGGAGGGCAAATATGTCATGACAGTTCATTGCAAATGCTCCCCTTGCCCAGTGACATGTGGTCTGAACACCGTCGTTGCGTCTAGGAGTCCTTGATTGATTTTTGTCTTCCATGGATTTGTTTGTTAAACCCATTGCAGTTTTCCAAATATCATCGTGATGTAGTGAGGACTTCCACAGTTCAGCTACTGTCACATGAAGTTCCTTTGTCTCAGCCTACTGTCTCCTGGCTCCGTTTGATGCTCTCCAGCCCTTGTATTAAGAGGCAGTGAACAATTGCCTTTTTATCTGCCTTTTTCTGTGCCACTTGGGATTTTACTGACCTCAAGAGCCTCCTTTTCTGGCTGGAGAGCCCTCATCTGCCCAACTCCTGTAGGGCTGGGTGTCATTCAGGATTCACCCGTGGTACAATGGCACCTTTGGGTGTAAATATCCACCTTGGGATCAAAGAATCTGTTTGCACTGAGGCAGAGAAGATTCCCTGATGTGCTGTCTCCTGCTCTTGGGTAGAAAACATCTCTCTGCAAATCCTGAATAATCTACCCGTGAATCCCTGTCATTTGGTACAAATTCTTGCTGCAAATAAACCCTTTTTCCTGCGAAGCAGTGTGATAGAAACTCCATTATAGTCAAAAAGGAGAGAAATAACCTTTCAATTACCAGAAATAGCAATTACCCACATCTGCTCCCAAACATTTTCTGGCTGTGATTGGATTTGCTCTTCCCTCAGAGCCGCAGCTGAGCGAGGGCAGTGGGGCCAGGGCAGATGAAGGACGCGGGTGCCTGCAAGTCTAGCGTTGGATCCAAACCCTCTTGCACAGAGCTTGTCCTTCTGAGGGTGCTGCTGATTCCTAGCACTCCCCTCTCAAGACTGTTCCTTCTAACCACCCTGTGATGAGTGTGTTTCTGTAACAAGACTGGTCCTGGCTGCTGGGTGAGGATGGAGAGAGCACTGGTGCAGCTGGGCTGGGTGAAGGACGGAGCTGAGGCAACGTCCTGTACATGGAGATAACGTTGGGTTGTCTCGGTGTGAAGAACAATGTGGAGTTCACTTGAATTCCTCCTGGTACGTGGTGCCAGAGTCCCCTGGCAGGTAGACAGGGCTGTAAATACCTGATTTTTGCCCACTTTACATGCAGCTGTTCAGAGGAATGAGACTTATTAAAGGAAAACGCATTCTTACATGATCAAAACACATTAAAAGCTTAATGCTTCTCATTGCTAATCAAGCACAACGTCTTTGCAGTTCTTATACTGAGCACCTTTCTGTGGTTTTAAAACCAGGTGAAAGACATACTGGAGGTCTATTTTCCGGGAAAACAGTTTCTCTGAAGCAGACTGTTTATTCTCCCCAGATGATGTCATTGCTGTCTGTGCCTGTGAACTAGAAACTGTTGCTTAAGCGCCCCATTGTTTGGGGTAGCATCGCACTTGTTTTACAGAATCATTAGAGCCACAGCAGTGTTACAGGTTAATGGGTTAATTGCTCTTGTTACTCTGTTTACTGGAACGTGTAGGCTTTCTTATTCTCAAATGACCTGTTACGTTCTTGTTTCACTCTTAGACCGAAGCTCCAGATACGTTCCTGTCCGTTACAGAAAAGAATGCAGCTTTTAGCTGGACTGCTCAAGCAGAATTGATTTTTTTGCTGCATCCTCCCTGATGCAAAAAGCCAGGGTACAAACGTGTGTCTTTGTGTAGTCGTCTCTGGTATATACGTGGGGAAACGCTTCCTGAGCTCTGTGTGTGCAAGCACGGTCACCTCTCTAGAGCCAATGTGTAAATTATGAATGACAAGCAGCCTCCTGAGCATTAGCAAATCCTCAGGGCTGGTTCCTGTGCACAGGCCAGAGGGGAGCAGGAGTCTGGTGACTCCATAAGCGGTTCGAGAGAGAGGGATGTGGGGAAGTGACCCAGCATTACTCTGATAAAGCGAGTCAAGCACACTCAGCACCAAATACGTTTCTCTGGGCAAAGCTGAGCCCACAGGCTCTAAAAGGAAGATGCCAGGAGATCACAGGTTTAAAGAAACCAAAAATGGTAGTGAATCCGCAGAGTTCCCAGTAGCAGGTGAGACAACTGAGGGATTTTCACAAGGATTTGGGATAACTCTGGTTGATACATTCTTTTCAAATACAAGGTATGATTCCAGACCCCCTTCTGATCAAGATATGTTGGAACTGAAAATCCTACACACGGTGTTGGATACGTGGTGTGTTCTGATGGTGTTCATTTATTAAAATCTCTTCCTGTGCCAGGATGAGTTTGATCACATTCACCCAACGTTAGAAGATGAACTCCAACAGCAGCGTGAGTCCACGCAGCTTCCTGGAGAGACAACGAGTAAGGTAATGTATTTCCACGTTTTCTTGCTGGGTGACCTGGCCCATCGCTGAGATTTCAAGCGGTGGGTCTGTTCTTGAGCACACTGTGAGGTTTTTTCATTGTTTTTAGCTGACAAGACGCGAGTGAGCTCTGGACTTCAGGCTGTGCACATCAGCCTGGTGTCACGTGTGAGTTAATGGCTTCTGCTGAGAGCCAGGGGTGACATCTCACCAGCTTTGGGTTGGGGCTTGTAAGCACTCACCCGCCTGGAGTGATGTGTCAAAGAAATGGCAGGGGAGATAAGTAGATCAAAGTCAAGGTGATGAGAAATAGCTCGTTTAGTCTTCTCCTGCACCTCAGGATCAAGTGCAGGCAGGCAGAGGAGGTCAGTGGGGCCAGGCTGGCTTGGGAGTCAGCTCTGACCACAGCCACGGGACCACACGCTTGCAGAATCGACTTGCCCTTGGAGCAGACTCTCACGGGGTGTGGTGGAGTCCTCTGCTTGGAAAACACTCATATTATGTGTTTGAAAATGTGTCTCGATTGATGGCATTGTCTCAGGCAGGGAAAACCAGAGCTGTGTGTAGAGAAAGAGCCACAACATGCTGTTCAGCACCTGCTTTTTGGTGTGTGAATGTGGCAAAGAGGATTATTCACTGTGTGTCTGTCTTCTGCCTCTGCAGTGGCTTCCCTGAGCTCACCTGCTTTCTGTTTGTGTTGCCACCCTTGTGGTGGTGGATCAGTAGAGCGATGGGGGAACTTCCTTTGGTCATGTCACTGGGAGGGTTATCTTCTCTCCATTGGAACATTAGCCCTTGTGTTTCAGCTCTACAGGGAAGAGCTGGAGAAGGAACAAGCATCGCGTGCAAGAGTTGAACAAGATCTGGTTGAGGCCACACAGAGGCTGCTGATGGCCCAGGAAGAGATCCAGAGGTTGGCGGAGGAGCTGGAGCAGAGCAAAATAGGCAAGTGCTTCTCTTGTGGCCACTCCTAATGACTGACCAATAACCAACGGGCCTGCACTTAGCCCACCCCTCTGCCTTGGACTTCTCACCCAGGGGAGTTGGGCTCCTCTCTGTGTGTAATGTGGAAAAATCAGTGTCAGATGTTAGCCTGGTGCCGTGGAGATCTGAATGCAGTCATTAACAGTCACAAATCAATTAATTCTGAGTGGGGAAGGCTGAGATGTGAGGTTACCTGATCCACGATTACAACAGTGGTGTCTTGACTGACATCTTCTCCCTGGCTCATATCGGGGAGGAATTTGTGCCCTAGGAGGGGATTGAGAGGAAATGATGACTTGGTCCAGAAACAGTAGCTAAAATACCGTGTGCTCAGCGTGAGCCCAGCTGGAGCACTCACCTCGAGGTTCTGCAGGTGCTCTGTTCGGGATGCTCCCTCGTTATGAGGGATATCCTCATTATGCTCCTAACTGGAGCTTATCAGCAGTCCTGAAGTGACTGGTTGGATTCTTATCACTGCCAGTATTTGCTTAACCTCCTTATTGAAATACCTGATGTTGACAAGCTCTCAAGTATTATTTTTTTTAAAAATACTGACTGTAAAAATAAACAGTTTTCTGGAGGGAAATCAAACTACTTGATAAAGCTCCTACTGGAGGGTGCTAAAACCCAGGTGCTTCACTGCGACCTCCTACAGAAGATTCCCTGAGAAAAACTCTGCTTTCTGGATACTTTTTCTCTGGATTATTTACGTTGTCCCTAAATCTGTCATGTGGAATTTCAGTGGAGAACAGCAAACTGAGATGAGATAACACGTTCCTGCTCTATGTGCACACTCAGTAAGTTCACAGATGACGCCAAACTAGGTGGGAGTGTTGATCTGCTCAAGGGTCAGAAGGCTCCACAGAGGACCTGGACAGGTTGGATGGATGGGCCAAGGCCAATGGGATGAGGTTCAACAAGGCCAAGTGCCTGGTCCTGCACCTTTGTCACACCAACCCCCTGCAGCGCTACAGGCTGGGGGCAGAGTGGCTGGAGCTGCCGGGCAGAAAAGGACCTGGGGGTGTTGGTGGACACCAGCTGAACAGGAGCCAGCAGTGTGCCCAGGTGGCCAAGAAGGCCACCAGCATCCTGGCCTGTGTCAGGAGCAGCGTGGCCAGCAGGAGCAGGGCAGGGATGGTGCCTCTGGACTGGGCACTGGTGAGGCCTCACCTCGAGGCTGTGGTCAGTTCTGGGCCCCTCACCACAAGAAGGACATTGAGGTGCTGGAGCGTGTCCAGAGGAGAGCCACCAAGCTGGGGAGGGGTCTGGAGAACAAGTCACACAAGGAGAGGCTGAGGGAACTGGGCATGTTGAGTTTGGAGAAGAGGAGGCTGAGGGGAGACCTCCTTGCCCTCTACAACTCCCTGAAAGGAGGGTGTAGAGAGGTGGGGGTTGGCCTCTTCTCCCAAGGGAATGATGACAGGAGAAGGGGAAACAGTCTGAAGTTGGGGCAGGGGAGGTTTAGATTAGATATTGGGAAGAATGACTTTGCTGAGAGGGTGGTCAGGCCCTGGAACAGCCTGCCCAGGGAGGTGGTGGAGTCACCATCCCTGGAGGTATCTAAGAAACGAGTAGACATGGCACTCCAGGGCATGCTCTGGTGGCTGAGATTGTGGGGTCTTTTGTGTGTGTGTGTGTGTGGTTGGACTCAGTGATCTCAGAGGTCCCTTCCAACCATGAAGGTTCTCTGGTTCCATGCCTCTGCAGGGACCAACTCCCTTAAGGAGACCAGCACCACCTGAGCGCGGTTAATGTGCAAATCACAGGTCCTGATGCTGCACAGAGCTCAGACCGAGCTAAACCTTCCAGCCAGCCCCCAAACCCATGGGTTGCAGCCTTTTAGTCAGAGGCAGGGAAGGGATCACTCTGCTGTGGGTATCGATTGATCACACGTGTCCCTGGGGAGGGAGCAGGGGAAACGCTGCAGCCTCCGGTCAGTGCTGCTGCTCCACACCACGGCCACGCTGCAGCCCGTGCCTCCTCCCGGGGCATCCCAGCCTGCTGGGGAGATCCCTGTCTTGTGGGCTCCTTAAGTATCAAACGAATATCAGGCTTTCCAAACGGTGAGTAGGAGTTTAATGCTTGTTCTGTCTGTGGGGGTTATTATGCTGCGAGTCTCGGTGTGCAAAATGAGTGTTACAACGTCTTAGTGACCGACCCTAATGATGTGTATCTGCATCGTTCTCCCAACGAGCCTTGGAGCCATCTGCTCTATAAATACATTGACTTTCGAATAAAAACCTAAAAACTTCACTGAAACGGTGTATTTTGGCTCAGTGAAGAGAAAATACAAGGTTGCTCCTGGCCAGTTTGGAGCCCAGTAATTGGGACTTCGGTGATGGTGATTAGAGATTTTAAATGGGTGCCTCGCTGGCTGCTGCTTTAATTGTTTTTTTCTTTAGTTTTCCTTCAACTGCATTAGAGACATGGCAGAGTTTGGTGTTGAGAAGGACACAAACAGAGTGCCACAAAACTCTCTCTGTTACCCGTGTAGGATCAGCCTCCTGCTCGGCCCCACGAGCGCCTGAGAGCCGGGAAGCAGCAGGGAGCGAATGGAGAGAGGGTGGTAAGTCGTGTTACCTGCAAGCAGAGATCCAGAATTTTATCGGGGCTTTCTGCAGTGGTAAACGGGCTCTTCAGCAAAATGAAGATGTTCCTTGCCTTTTATTTGAAATTACAAACCTGTAAATCCAGTATCAAAATCCTTGTTTGAAACAGGGGCTTGGGGTTGCGGGGTTCTTTTGCCAGATTGGCACCAAGAGAGACGGTATGTTTTTATTTTTGCCTGAATAAAAGTCAAACTTAAGCTGAAATTTCCTGTGGCTGGAGTTAAGCTGAAAAGGGGAAAATCTTTGTTTGCTTTTTCTGTAAGGAAAACTGCCTTCTCACTACTTTTACTGAGGTTTAGGATGCCAGTGTATACTCGGACACGTTTCTGACTGTGTGCTCCTAATGACAAACATCTTTTCCTATTTCACTGAATTTCACTGAATTTTTTTAGAGTTGGAAGGGACCATAGAGATCATCTAGTCCGCCCAGGTTGCTGAAGCAGGATTTCTGGCCCTTGAAATGCTAGATAGTCTGTGTTGATTGGTGTGATGGCTCCATGTGTTTATAGATTTAGACTCCGAGGGCTGGTATACAACCATGATTTTTACAGTACTGTCCATTTCATAAATATTAATTCTAGCACAGCACTGATACATTAATTGGGATTGCATTTCTGCTTGCGGCAAATAAATTTTATGATGAAAATAAGAAATGTGGTTGGTTGGGTCTTTCAGAACTTATCCTAACTGTGAAGTTCATACCCAAATATCCGAGGTGAGGCTTTTTGCATGATCTGGAGGCAAACTGAGTCTCTGGAGTATAACTCTGGAGAGATGGCTGTGCTGCTGTAATGGACATGGCATGGCTGCTGAACCTGCATCTCTAGAAACAGGACCCCCTGCTGTTTGAGTAGGAGAATGTGTTCCCAAACTCCCTCTGTGCTGTCGCACGCGTCCACCTGGGCACGAGGGCAATGCAATCTCGGAAACCTTATTCATGTCATAGCCCCCCTCTGAGCTTTGCCAAGGGCTAAACTGGTGCTGGTGACCAGTTCTTTCTGTTCTGTACAGACAGGACGGAGCTACAGGAGGCCATGGAGCACAACAGCAGACTGGACAAGGAAATCCTGGCGCTGCGAGCACGGGTCCAAACACTCGACTTGGAAAGAAAAGCGTTCCTGGATCTGGTGAGTACCCATCTCCTGCTCTGCTGTGGCACCAACGACCTTCTGTGGGGCCAACACTCCTGGGCTGGCTCCTGACCTTCAGTTCTACTCCTGAACCTGCCCTGTCTCTGTTGCCCCTCTCTTTATAATAGCGAGTCTTTCCAGAGCTGTGGTTCTGGTGTTTCGTGCCTCATGGAGTAATAAAATTTAGGAAACAGGCAGAATAAATAGAATCACAGAATGGTTCAGGTTGGAAGGGACCTTAAAGCCCCCCCAGTGCCACCCCCTGCCCTGGGCAGGGACATCTCCCACCACACCAGCTCCCTCCAAGCCCCCTCCAACCTGCCCTTCAACCCCTCCAGGGATGGGGCAGCCACAGCTTCTCTGGCCAACCTGGGCCAGGCTCTCACCACCCTCACACCAAACAAGTTCTTCCCCACATCTCAGCTCCATCTCCCCTCTTTCAGGGTCAAACCCTTCCCCCTCCTCCTAGGGCTCCCCTCCCTCATCCAGAGTCCCTCCCCAGCTTTCCTGGAGCCCCTTGAGGGACTGGAAGGGGCTCTGAGGTCTTCCTGAGCCTTCTCTTCTCCAGGCTGAACCCCCCCAAACTCTCTCAGCCCCCCCTCCCAGCAGAGGGGCTCCAGCCCTCCCAGCATCTCCGGGGCCTCCTCTGGCCCAGCTCCAACAGCTCCATGTCCTTCTGCTGTTGGTGGCCCCAGAGCTGGAGGCAGCACTGGGGGGTGTCTCCCCAGAGCGGAGCAGAGGGGCAGAGTCCCCCCCTGGCTCTGCTGGCCACACTGCTGGGGATGCAGCCCAGGGTGCTGGGGCTTTCTGAGATGCCAGCACATGTTGCCGGCTCATGTAGAGCTTCTTGTCCACCAACACCCCCAAACCCTTCTCCTCAGGGTTGCTCTCCAGCCATTCTCTGCCCAGACAGAGTGTTTTCGCAGCTGCTGTTGCTGCCGCCCTGACAAAAAATCAGGTCTTCCAGCATCATTCAGTGCAGGAGCAGTTTGAGAGTTCAGGCTCATGTAGAGCTTCTTGTCCACCAACACCCCCAAACCCTTCTCCTCAGGGTTGCTCTCCAGCCATTCTCTGCCCAGACAGAGTGTTTTCGCGGCTGCTGTTGCTGCAGCCCTGACAAAAAAATCAGGTCTTCCAGCCTCATTCAGTGCAGGAGCAGTTTGAGAGTTCACCAAACACAGAGGGGGTTGTACGTGTTCAAACCGAGCGTGTGCTTTGGGGCTTGCAGCCCTGAAGGTGCTGAAATCACTGATTTTTCTGTGTCCACCTACAGGATCAGCCATTGTTTGCGCAAAATCAAGCAGGTAAACAGACTAAGCTACCTTTCTACCTTTCCTTGGGGTCTCTTACTAGAAGCAGTGAATAAGTTTAGTCTAAAACCCCAAACTATATATTTTTTAAACAATTTTTAATTGATGCTCATGTTTTGATACCTCTAAGCCTCGTTGATTTGCTTGGGAGAGGATAAACTTCTTCCTTTTCATTTTGTGTGGCCTTTCTGAAGAGAATTCCGTACTATTACATTACTATTAGTTGAACGCTTAATATTATATTACTATTGTTTAAAGGCTTGGCGTAATAAGTTTAGGATTCTCTAAATGCAGTAATCTTTGTCAAGAAGATAGTTCCTTACTCAGATTGCCATTAGTGAATTAACACAAAAATCTATTTCCCATTAAAATGTGTCACTTGGCACAAATTCTGTTTCTGTTCTTAACTCTCAAACTCCTTATATCAGCCCCTCAGAGGTGCTAATTGGTGCCAGCAGCCGGTGATTACTGATGCCATCCCAGCACAGCAGCTCAGCAGCTTTCTTGCAGGTCTCTCAGATTAAAATGAGTATTTTAAAATTAATATAAGTATCTCTGAGAATACCACGCCCATCTCTTTACAGTAATGTCACAGACTTAATTTCTTGAATACAATTTATTCACATTTGAGGATTAAAAAAATTTAGAATGTAGTTCTGTTCCTTGTGTTTAAAAACGTTGCTGGTTCTTCCTTAGCATAGTGTCTAGAATCTGTAATCTCACACCTTGTATTTATAGAACAGTCTGATTCTGGGTCTGAAAAAAAAATTATTTAGTTCCTATTCCTCGGTTTACATTTTTAAAATTTCAAATAATATTTTATTTTCTTTAGGACATTGCTTTTTTCAGTCACTATGTATGCATACACGTGTGTATATATATATTTTATATATATATAAAAAAATGGAAATATCTACACACAAGAAATATAGATACGAATCTGTAATCTCACACCTTGTATTTATAGAACAGTCTGATTCTGGGTCTGAAAAAAAAATTATTTAGTTCCTATTCCTCGGTTTACATTTTTAAAATTTCAAATAATATTTTATTTTCTTTAGGACATTGCTTTTTTCAGTCACTATGTATGCATACACGTGTGTATATATATATTTTATATATATATAAAAAAATGGAAATATCTACACACAAGAAATATAGATACATCTAAGTTACTGTTTTCTCTGTAGAGAAAGAAAGGGCAGCCAGACTGAGCTTGCTTCCAACCAGCCCCGTTGTTAAGCTAAAAGCAAATTACCTTTATTCCTTAGGAACGAGGTTTAACTGTTGGCATAGAAGTTAGAAACCCACATTTTTTTACTATGTAGAAGCTGAAAGTGTATGTTATTACGAGGCACAGACGTTCTGCACCCTGAAGTGTGTTTTTCTGCCTGGGAGCTGTGGCCAGCAGGGTGAGGAGGCCAGTGGGCTCTGGCTTGGTGGTCTGTGGGCCACTGACCTGGTCCCTGCCCTGTGTCCCACCAGCTGGAGCATGGACCCTGCAGGACCCGGTGGCTGTGATCTGTGATCTGTCTCCCCCTCTGCACTCAGTCCCCTCAGTAAAAGGGATTGTCCAACATGTGCGTGATCAGTAATTGAAATAAATGAAGAAAAATCACTTACCTTTTAATTGCAGGATGGCATTTCCCCTTCTGCTGCTCTGTACCTCTCTGAATAGTCTGAGGCCACCTGGAGCAGCCACGTGATCTCAACCAATCCCTCAAACCAAATAGTTAATACTAATTTTATCTACGTTTATCTATGGCAAGTTTGAGGGGAATCTTCATTCTCGGACTAGCAAGATGAATGTTCACCAAAGATAAAAGGAAGTGTTTTCCTTTTGAAGGTTGAACAGCTCAAAGAGGAGATCTGTGAGTATCAGAAGAGCGAGAAGCAAGGAACTCCATTGCCTGCGCCGGCCGACACCGAGGAAGTAGCCACGTGCTCGCTGCAGGTATTCCCAAGGGCTTTTTGGTTGCCTTTCTAGAAGCCAAATGGAGCAAATTGGTTCCACTCTGTGTTTCACAATGCCAGAAATGAAGACGTGTGGCTTGTGGGGCAGAAATGCTTGTGTTCTCCTTTGTACGTATGTGGGAGTGTGCCCTGTGCAGGTGTGACGTAGGACTTGTGCTGGATGTACACGGGTGTCTGTTGGTGTAAGCTAACACCCACTAGTGCCTTCCTATTTTCACACATCCTGGCAGAGGTTTTGGCTGGTGGATTATCTCATGCAGGCAGAGCAGCACAGAATCCAGAATCTTCATAGTTGGAAAGGACCTCTGAGATCACCGAGTCCAACCACACACACACACACACACAAGACCCCACAATCTCGGCCACCAGAGCATGCCCTCAAGTGCCACATCTACACGTTTCTTAAATACTCCAGGGACGGTGACTCCACCACCTCCCTGGGCAGGCTGTTCCAGTGCCTGACCACCCTCTCAGGAAAGTCATTCTTCCCAATATCTCATCTAAACCTCCCCTGCCCCAACTTCCGACCATCTCCTCTGCTCCTGTCATGATTCCCTTGGGAGAAGAGGCCAACCCCCACCTCTCTACACCCTCCTTTCAGGGAGCTGTAGAGGCCAATGAGGTCTCCCCTCAGCCTTCTCTTCCCCAAACTAAACATGCCCAGTTCCCTCAGCCTCTCCTCGTGTGACTTGTTCTCCAGACCCCTCCCCAGCTTGGTGGCTCTCCTCTGGACACACTCCAGCACCTCAATGTCCTTCTTGTGGTGAGGGGCCCAGAACTGAACCCAGCCCTCGAGGTGAGGCCTCACCAGTGCCCAGTCCAGAGGCACCATCCCTGCCCTGCTCCTGCTGGCCACGGTGTTCCTGACACAGGCCAGGATGCTGTTGGCCTTCTTGGCCACCTGGGCACACTGCTGGCTCCTGTTCAGCCGGTGTCCACCAACACCCCCAGGGCCTTTTCTGCTGGGCAGCTCCAGCCACTCTGCCCCCAGCCTGGAGCGCTGCCTGGGGTTGTTGTGACTAAAGTGCAGGACCCGGCACTTGGCCTTGTTGAACCTCATCCCATTGGCCTCGGCCCATCGATCCAGCAGATGTAGTTCATGTTTTCTGGTTGTCTCGGTTATTTATGAGAGGCCCAGGTAGCTTTGGAACCACGTTGTGCTAGGATTTCAGTCTTAATTATGCGCCAACTTTCTGTTTTCTCTTCAGTGCCAGGGCACAAAGGAGGAAGGGAGGGTTGAAGGAGGCCTTGCCTCAGGCAAAGCTGGCTCAGATCAAGATGACAGGTGTCAGAGTGGTGAAACGCTTCATAAAAGGTGAGTGATCTAGAAATCTTTCTTCCCCTGTTGTATTTTCATGGTTACCCAACGCTCTGCTTGCGGGTATTCTGTCCTGCAGAGTGCGTTGGGTTCTTTAGAATACTCTTGGGTACCAGCTTTGTTTCTCTGCTCCCAGATCAGAGAGTTTGGAGGTGATGCAGCCCCAAGTGGGTCTGTAGCCCTTGGTATCAAGAATGCGAGCTGTTTTCTGGCACTTCTTCCACTTTGTTGCTTTTCTAAAAGAATAGGGTTGGGATTTTGTGGCTCTCAGCACACAAAGTGTTGGTTTCAAAATTGTTTTGTTGCTGGGGAAGATTCCTCCGGGTTTGGTTGCTGCCCAGGGGTGCACCAAGACAACTTGGCTTTCAGACTTAAACATGTAAACTGGGATTTCTAAGGGAAGTTGAAGCTTTATTCTCCCGTGGCCTGCTCAGGAAGCTGCTGCTGTGCCTCTTCTGACAGGTTCAAGGAGGAAAAGGCATCTGGTCCCATCCTTTTATCTCTTTATATCCCTTTAAATGCTCAACCTGTTTCTCCACCTCAAGCAGCTGAATTTCCCATCACCTCCCTGCTGTTGGCATCACCGTGCCTGACCCCGTTTCTCCCCAGACCTTTGCTGTTACTTGTGTAGAGCCCGCCACCACTAATTCCCATGCATCGCCACCTAAATAAGAGCAGGAACAGGTCTTTTTTGTCTGAAATTAGCAAGACAGAAATATTCCATATTGGAATCCATATTGGAAAACCACATTGGCTCTTCCTCAGCAGTGGGAAGTGGTGGGGATGCGTGTCAGTGCAGTTCTACCCTTGGTGATGTCCCGTCTTTGACGCGTAGGTGCCGAGAGGTGATTGAGAACATCGAGGGCAGGAGCTCACAGCTCCTTCACAAGCTCCAGAAACTGGAGCAGGAGCACGAGGACTCGGTCGAGTGCAATGAGGAGCTGGAATCCGTTCTGGGAGAGACGCGGATCCACACCAGGCAGGAGAAGGAGCAGTTTGAGAGTGACGAGGAGGGACTTCACCAGAAAGTAAGTAAGGAATGGAAGAAATACGGGTTGGTTTTGTTTAATTCTAGTTGTTTTTCTCTCCATATATTGATTGGTAAAATAAAATAATGTTTGACCTAAACCTGCATGCTGCTTTGTTTAGTTTGACAAGGAATATGACTAGCAAAATCTGCCAGGTTCAGGAAAGAGGGGAAAAGGAGGAGAAAAAAATTCAGTAATGAGTAAATGGCACTTGCTTGGGGGTGCAGGTTCCCCCACTGTCACAGCAACATTGTCTTTTCCAGCTCCTGTCCCCCCTCCTTGGTGCCTGGGCAAGCAGAGTTAATTAGCTAACGTTAATTACTGTCCACCCTCCCCGTGCAGCCTTTCTGTACGTCTGGGCTGCGCACCCTTCCAATTCTTGGCTCAGCTGAAGCAAAGCCTTTTTGTTTCAAATTCAAGTTCCACCTTTTTTCCTCTGGAGCTATTTGTTCTGAATCTCTGGAGCTGGAAAACTCTTCTTTTCCCCAAGAGGTTGTCCTCGATGGCATCAGTGCTCCTGGTGGAGTTCAGGATCTGTCCCCTGCAGGAACTGCTTTTCCACGTTGGACAGTTGTTTCTTCAGCCTGTGGTTCCTGCTGAAAAGCAAATTCCAAGAAGCCTCTAGTCCTCTTGAGGCTTGGAAGAGAGGCAAGAGGTTTTCCTGAAGCCCATGAGTTGTCCCTTAATCTGGCACCCATGACAGAAGTCCAGGCTTTGACTTGAGTCCTGAACCCTCCTCCAGACCTGTCTTGACAGATGAAATGGTCAGTGTGGGACGCTGATGCTTACTGATCCCAGGAAAGGCCACCAGTTAAATGTGCTGATGACACAAGATCACACTTTTGGCTTTTCTCTAAGCATCTTGGAGACCCATCAGCCCGTGTGGCAAACACCGAGGCACTTCAGGGTGTGGAGGGGCAGGACCTGCACTTCCTGGGGACATCTCTGCTGAAAATAACAAAATTGAGGAGACGGTGAGTTCTGTCATCACCTGCTGTCGGATGGGGCAGACATGGCTGGACACACCTTTTTGAAGAACTGATCCACCTGGAGAAGCTCTGCTCAATCTTGATGAATATGTGGTCTCACCAGTCTCTTCCTTACCTGTGTCCTACTTGATTTTGGGCACCCTCAGGCAAGGGCAAGGTGGATCTTCTTCTGTCAATAGGACAAGCCCATTCAGATCATCCTTTGACTTTAGGAGGTTGATAGAAGGTCTTTGTTATTTCTGCTCATTTGCATGTGACGGAGAACCTCAGGAAGATTGCAGACATGAAGCACCATGTTGATTATCTTGGTTTACCAGAACCATGGCAACACTAGAGGCCACCTTGCAGCTCCTTAAGGGCCATCTCCATCCACGTTTTGAGTGAGGATTAAGTTATTGCTGATGCTTCTCAGCCTGATGCTGCCTTTGTCAGAGTGGTCTTTAGCCTTGATTTGCTGGATGGACTCTCCATCCCTCTGGAAGTAGCTCCATGAGGAGCACCTGTGCTTACTGACTGGTTTGTCACTGCTTGCCCCAGGGAAAATGCCATTTGCAGCATCGCTGCCAGGGGGTGTGATCCCTTAGGGACGGGGCAGCTGAACAATTTATAGCCAGAGAGGAGGCCAGAAGCTGGTCTTGCTAGATGGGTAGGTGGGCTTCTCTCCAAAAGCCTGGCTGAGGAGGTCTTTTCCTTTGGCTGAAGCCCTGCTCCTTCCTTCCTTGGGAGAGTTGTCCTCTCCCCTCTGTCTGTGGTTCTGAGATGCTCTCTGTAGTGATCGTGGTCCTGGACCAGGCAGCAGGACTGGTCTGCAGAGGATCTTGGATTTCTAAGGTGTTAAGGGTGGGCACACACAGGTCTTCAATCAGCAGTGAGCGGTGCTTGGGTATAGACTCATAAACTGGTTTGGGTTGGAAGGGACCTTAAAGTCCCCCCAGTGCCACCCCCTGCCCTGGGCAGGGACACCTCCCACCACACCAGGTCCCTCCAAGCCCCCTCCAACCTGCCCTTGAACCCCTCCAGGGATGGGGCAGCCACAGCTTCTCTGGCCAACCTGGGCCAGGCTCTCACCACCCTCACACCAAACAAGTTCTTCCCCACATCTCAGCTCCATCTCCCCTCTTTCAGGGTCAAACCCTTCCCCCTCCTCCTAGGGCTCCCCTCCCTCATCCAGAGTCCCTCCCCATCTCTCCTGGAGCCCCTTGAGGGACTGGAAGAGGCTCTGAGGTCTCCCTGGAGCCTTCTCTTCTCCAGGCTGAACCCCTCCAACTCTCTCAGCCTGTCTATACACTTGCTGTTGTGTTAAAACATGATGTAGGAGAATACAGTTGCTGTTGTGTTAAAACATGATGTAGGAGATAGTGCGAGTGGGAAGGCACATCTCATGTGACACACCTCCAAGTTGAATTCTTCAAAGGAAGAAAAGATGAATTACTTGTCCGTAGCCTCTGGCTGTGAGGGAAAAGTCTCCAAATGCAGTGCTGCAGACTGAAGGCATGTTCAAATATCTTAATGAGGGATTCCAGCAGGCATCATGGTTTGAAGTGTGTAGCAGAGGAGCCCAGGGCAGGCTCTGTGGTGGGAATGGCAAAAGGTCCATCCACAGTGACCGTGCTTTTGATTAAATCGAGGTTGGTTCAGCACACACGAAAATGTTTCTCACTTTCTCACTGCGGGAGAACAAACGCCACCCTCCACAAATCAAGCCTGAGGCATTTTAGGTTTGGAGAAACCCCTCTTTGCTCAGTGTGTTGTTAAACAGATCCCTGGGAACGCCGCTCGGGGGGAACGCGGGGGGAGCAGCAGGTAGCCAGGGAGATGGAAGGCACGTCCTCTGGCATGAGCTGGGCAGCCACTGTCGCTGGAAAAGGGACAGAAAAGAGGCACATGGAGCAAGCTGTGGGGTGGAGGAGAAAGGAGGTGGGTTAACCCTTGGTTAGGTCCAGTGCCTGTGCTGACGGAGAGCTGCACCCTTCATCTCCAAGGGGCTTTTGGGTGCCGTGGAGGTGATGGGGGCAGGTGCCCTGGAGCGTGGGGAAAGCGGCGCCACTGGGTGTCTGCCAGGCTGCCCCATGTGAGAAGGACTTGGAATTCTCTTCTGTTTTGGCACGCCTACAAAAATATTGGCTGATTAGGCCACTGACTCAGAACGGGGGCACCGGGATACAATGTGAGCATTGTTCTGCCCTTGGCACGGGACTTAACGTGTGGGACTTAAATGCCTTCGGAGGAAAAATAAGCGAAACGGTAGAAATGCATAGCTGGGTCTCACCTTCATGAGAAGAGGTTTGCTGGGGGTGGGGAGGTGTGTTTTGTCTTTGAGATCCAAAGTTTTGTTGAACCCCAAACTATCATCTCATCAAGCAAGAGGAAGGTTTATTTCCCTCTAGCTCTTCTGTAGGAGGCCTGGGTGTTTCACCCCACCGATTTGCTTTTGACATCTAGGTTGGGCAACATCATCTGTCCTAAAAAAACTATCTCAGCAGCGTTCTCTGTCAGAGACCGTTCCCTGCTGGCAGCTTCAAGAGAGCCACCTTGTGCCTGCAGCCTGTCAGTGAGGGCAGAGCTCCTGGGCTTTGGCACAGAATCACATGGGGCTGGAAGGGACCAGATGATCGGGAGATCACCCAGTCCAACCCCCTGCCAGAGCAGGTCGACCTGGAGTAGGTTGCACAGGAATGTGTCCAGGCGGGTTTTGAATGTCTCCAGAGAAGGAGACTCCACCACCTCTCTGGGCAGCCTCTGCCAGGGCTCTGCCACCCTCAAAGTAAAGAAGTTCCTCCTTATGTTTAGGTGGAACTTCTTAAATTCAAGTTCGTGCCCATTTCCTCTTGTCCTGTCCCTGGGCACCACTGAGAAAAGGCTGCACGCTGCTGTGTGGGCACTTTAAATGGACTGGGGCTGGCAGAGACTTGGCACTTCTTCAGTTTTGGCTTCTCATTTGGAAAGGAATGAAAACTCGTCTCCAAATAAGCACAAAGAAAAGCAGGGTGAAAGGCATCTGGCGTGCTCCACCGTGCCCTCGTCTCTGAGTGGGGCCACGGATGTTGCTGGTGGATGCTGTGACAGATGAGGCTGGATTTCATCTGTGGCTGGACTTCACCTCCTCCCAGTGTCCCCACTCAGCGACAACCCAGTCCCAGCAGCCCAGACTGTCTTTGGAGCAGAGGAGCTGGGAGGAAAGGCTTCTGGTTGCCCGCTGGCCGGTGGCGGAGCAGGGTGGCTGTGGGTGCCAAGGCTCAGATTTTGCAAAAGGGTCTGCAGGAACTGTAATGGGGAGGAGAAACTGGACTGGTCCCAGCTCCTTTAAGCCTTTTAAAGCTGCAGGACTCCCAGGAGATCCCCCATGAGGGGAGACTCCTTGGGTGGGGGGGCTGGTGCAAATGCAGAGTCAGAGCTTGTCCAGACAAACTCTTCCCTGCCAGGAGAAGCTCAGAGGCTTGAGTCGAGAGTCCTTGGAGCCCTGGGGGTGTGTGGGGGTTACAACCTCCTTCAGGCACTGGAGGGACCAGGACAAGTCCTGGTGGACCAGGTCCAACATCTGCTTGGATGAGATCAGCTGTGGGGGAGTGGACGCTGCAGCGGGGGAAGGAGATGGCCCATGAAATAAATGGGGGTCTCCTGGGGTCCTCCGTGTTGGGAGAGCAGCGTGAAGAAGGCCCACAAGCTGTGGAGGCCTTGAATTTCCCACCATGTGTCTGGGTGGTTTCTCTCCTTTTGTGGAGCAGGGTTCTTTATTTCCTGCCGTGGCCTTGGATGGCTCCTTCGCCCTTGGAAGCCACGGGATGAAAGACGTGAGCTGGAGCGAGCCCCCGCTGGCGGCTCTCCACCTCCCCTCCTGCTCCTCGCTTCCAAACATGGGGCTTGCTCTGTAGGAGCAGCACAAGGAGCAACGTAGTAGTAGTTGTGTGTTTAGTACTAGTGGAGAGTTCTGGTTTGGTTTTAACTTGTGGTTTGTCTGTGTTAAGATCACAAACTTAGAGACAGAGTTACTTGAAGTGCAGAAGAACAAAACAGAGATGAGTGGGGAAGAGCTGGCGTCGCCTGGAGCACAGGAGATGCAAGAGGTAAGAGGTTTCCCTTGGGAACGAGATTGTTTTGTTTAGAAAAGTATTAAATGAGCATCTCCCGTGGATTCTCTTTGTCACCATCTCCTGAGAATTTGTGCCCCATCACCTGGATGTCTTTGGAGGAAAGCAACCAATATTATGTCCCCAATAGCTCATCTCTCTTGCAGGACTGTCCTGCCTTCAGCAGGGGGAGAAGGGTTTACACCTGTAAAGGCGCTTGGCTCTTGATTAAGGCTGGGTGAAACCCAGGTGTGTGTAGGTAGGTTCACAGGGCTGTTTCCCAGCTGGTTTGGGGCTGACCTTGCTGTGGATTTACTTGCCACCAGACAATTGGATCTGCAGGGTGTATAAGCCAGACAAAACTTATTGCAGGTGGGAGAAGGACCTTCCCAAGGTATTGTGGGCCTGGTGGAGGCTCCAGGCCTTCAGAGATGCCCAGCCAGCCCTGGGTATCAGGTGCAGGAATCCTCCTAGCAACTCCTCAGAACAATTTTTCCTACCCTTGTTTACTAAGAGACACATTTTCTTCTACTAGAATAAATGATGCTGTAGAAGTGACTCTTATTTTTGCTTGTTCCAGATGCTGGAAACCTGTCAGGAGACAATAGAGAAGTTGGGAAGTCAGCTGGGAGAGCGGAGAGAACGGAGAAAACAGCTTGCGTCTGAGCTTGAGCTGTTACGAGAAGATCTGAAGGCTGAGAGGAAGGTTTTGGGCAGCCAGGTACGTACAGCTCCTGCAGCAGGACTCCCTGCAGGAAGGTGGTTGCCTTTGGATGACTCCATAAAACATCCCCAGGTGCATTTCTCTAGTCCACCCACTTCCAAAGCTTCTTTGGTGGATGGTTTTAAATCCATCTGCTTTAATGGAACCGTCTGTAATTTATTTTTCCTTTCAGTGTGACTAAAAGCAGTAATTCAAAGTTTGTAGCCAAAGCCCCTTTCTCTAGAGGCAGAGTGGAAACTTTCAGACCTGTGTATTGCAGAGTTATTTGTGATCATAAGGCTCATCATCAGGAGCCTTCATCTCTCGGTGTCACAACACGGCAGGGAACTTGTAGATTTGAGCCAGGACCTCCCTGCAAACGGGTATCACAGTTATGTCATGGAATCTGTTTAGCATGGGTCCTCTTTAATATCAGTAGTTTTCTTTCTTAACCAGAATATCACAGAATCCCATAACGATAGGGGTTGGAAGAGACCTCTGGAGATCACCCAGTCCAACCCCCGGCCACAGCAGGGCCACCCAGAGCAGGTCCCACAGGAACGTGTCCAGGAGGGGTTGGAATGTCTCCAGAGAAGGAGACTCCACCACCTCTCTGGGCAGCCTCTGCCAGGGCTCTGCCACCCTCACAGGAAAGAGGTTCCTCCTCATGTTGAGGTGGAACTTCTTATGTTCCAGTTTGTGCCCGTTCCCTCTTGTCCTGTCCCTGGGCACCACTGGAAAAAGCCTGGCCCCATTCTTCTGACACCCACCCTTGAAGTATTTATAGATGTTGATCAGATCCCCCCCTCAGCCTTCTCTTCTCCAGACTGAACAGACCCAAGTCCCTCAGCCTTTCCTTATGAAAGAGATGTTCTAGTTCCCTAATCATCTTCGTGGCCCTCTGCTGTCCCCTCTTCAGCAGTTCCTGCTCCTTCTGGGACTGGGGAGCCCAGAACTGGACCCAGTGCTCCAGCTGGGGCCTCCCCAGGGCAGAGCGGAGGGGCAGGATGACCTCCCTCCACCTGCTGCTCACACTCTTCCTGATGCCCCCCAGGATGCCATTGGCTTCTTGGCCACCAGGGCCCATTGCTGGCTCCTGGGCAACCTGTTGGCCACCAGGACTCCCATGTCTCTCTCTCCAGCAGGTCACCCCCAACCTCTCCTGGTGCAGGGGGTTATTCCTCCCCAGGTGCAGCACCCTGCACTTGCCCTTGTTGGATTTCATCCAGTTCCTCTCTGCCCAACAGAATACGTCACAATAAGAAGTCAGGACACCTAAGAGTCAGAGAAGTCCACGTGAGCAGCATGCTGGGATCCCATTACATGCCCCGAGGATCTCACACACTTCCTTGAACCGATTTAACTGCTAGATAGACGTCTGGTGGGTTCATCTGGTGGTCTCTCTTCCAGTTGGCCATGGAGGAGAGAGAGTGTGTGATGCCAGCAGAATGGCACAAGGGCTGGCACACAGGCAGGATGGGCTGAAAATTAGGGTAAAAATTCAGGAGAGCTGCAGATCTGTGGCCTGGGTCAGGCACACATGGGGGACCTGAGGGAGACTGGCAAAGGGGGAGTTTACATCTACTATAAACTCCTTTTTTTAGCACTCTGAGAGGCCTTAAAGCACATTACTGACTTGAACGTGAGGAAAAAAACAATGAAAGCCCTGAACTGTTGGCACAGCCACACATACATGAGGGTGTTGCTGGAGGAACAGTGGCATCTAGAGGACAGGACTTCTCTAGTGCCTTTAGGCAACACACTCACACTGCAAAAGCTGGGGCTGCAGACCAGGACTTGCTGAAGAGCAGTTTAGGAAGAGACTAGGTCAGTCTGTGACTATGCACGTGAAAAGGATTTGGGGGATGACGGGGAAAACAGGAAGAGTCGCTCTTTAACTTCTGCATCCCAATAGTTCAATCTGCTCATGGTTCAGGGACGTTTTAATCAAAATCGTACATCCCTGTAAGTGTGGTTGTAATTCAGCCACCAGTTGGCTGGTCGTTTCCCTAAAAGCACTATTTTTTCCATCAAAGGGATCATGAGAAAATCCAGTGGCCTGTGTTAGACTTTAAAATAGAGGACTCTGCCTGTGTTTGGGGGGATTCCTGACTTCTCAAGTGGGTTGATTCCCTTTTGATAGAACCGAGTGGGACGAGTCCTTTCCCAACAGAGAGCTGGAAAGGAGCTTGGCTTGAAATCATGGGGTTCTCGTGGGTGGTTACGTACCTGGAGGTCAAGATTTGAGGTTGTTCAGTGTTTGTGATTGTCAGGATACTGGACACACAGAACAGGCGAGAAAATGGGCTAGTATTTTTGTTCTTGTACATTTTAATGATGCACAACAAACTGATACAACGTGAACTATGCAAAGAGCATTTGTTTGGAACTCTCTTCTTGTTTTTAAGAGGGTTTTGGACATTTGGGAGGAGAAAGCTTTTTCTGAGCTCGTAGTTAGAGGTGTATTACATCCACTAACCCCGGTTGTTTCCTCACCAGAGGTTGCCAGACTCCCAATCAGGGTTTACAATCCCTTGTAATAATTTCCCAACTCTCTCAAGAACATCAGCAAACAGGGTCTCGTTAATGTGTCCCATGACAAGCTGCAAAAAGATAATACTTTGCTAGATACAGAGGTGAGAAATCTAGAGAGATCTCCGTTCTTCTGGTGTCTGAGGTAGAATGAAGCCACTGGTGCATATTGCTTAAATATGAATAAATTCATCTTGGTGTAGATAAGATGACCTGGAATTGAAATATTAATGGTAGCATACTCTCAGGGAGAGCTAGTGATTAAAAAGCTTTAGTGATCAAAGTCATTGCTGGCATTTAGGGGACTTCTAATAGCATTTTTCTTTGAAGGATTTGGTTTCCCCACTGCCTAGCAGGGGGTATTAGACGAGGCAGATTCTGGTTCTCATCCCATCTGGAGTCCCTGTGTCCTTGTGCAACTCCTCCTGCCTCCCCTTCTCCCCCCTTTTATTTCCTTGGCATCTTCTCATCATGTCTCAGGTTTTGGGTCTGCCTTTGCTGTGTTAAGGCATTAGGTGACATTGGAAGCAGAGAGCAGCCACCCATAGGAAGCTGGTTTGGGTTGGATGGAGGACGTGCTGTGTGAGACAGCTGAACACAAACCTTGTCCTCTTCCTGTTTCTCCAAGGATTTCTAGTTTTGTAAAGAAACATGGCACATGATATAAAGCCCTGAGAATTACAGGTGGGCAACAGAAGGATCATCAAATCACAATTCTGTATTTGATTGCATAGTTTACATGCAGCTACTTCCCAATGCAGAAAAAAGGGCTTGCATGTGTATCCTTGAGGGTGAAGAACAACAATAATTTAGCTACAGAATCCCAAGCCATGTCTCGATGGAATCCCCAGATTGTCTTATACTGCTCAAAACGTTTCCATGAGACCAAAGAAAATCAGTCTCGTGGTGTTTTCTGACCTTACAGGTCTCTGAACATCTACAAGACAGAGAACAGATTAACAAACTTGAGCAGAAACATGAAGATCTATGTGCAGATGAAAAGACCTACGAAGAACAGATGGCTAAAGTAGTGTTTTTGGAAGAACAGATCAAAAACTTGAGAGATGAACAAGAACTGCTCTGGTAAACCTTAACGAGACCAGTGGTATTTTCTGCTCCTTATCTTTGCTGACTAATTTTTTTAGTCTTTTAAAAAAATCTTGGTAGTGCTGGTTGTGGCACAAATGGGCACAGCAGCTTTGTGTCTTCCTTGATGTGGAATCAGCTCCCTGTAGAGGTTTTGCTGAATAAGCATTTCCCTTAGTGACATCATGATCAGTCAGGAGTAAAGCTTTTTTTTTTTTTCCCCCCATAGATGTTCCAAATTCTGAATGGCATAAATGAGAGCTGCCCTTAGGGAGGAGGCTTCTCCTCTTGGAGTCCCTGGTCCCAAAGAAGCCCCCATCGTGGGCTTGGGCTCCCTGGGGCAAAGTGGTGATACACATCCTGCTGTGGGTTTTGGTTGTCCCTTGGGGGGCAGGTGTCAAGCTTGTTGGGCATGTAAATAAAGCTCTTGCAGGTCCCCCGACTCCCCTTTTTCAGTAGAGCAATACAAATCTGGAGTTGGAGCACCCATGCCCAGCCTCTCATGGGCAGTAAAAGCTTGGATGAAATCCAGTCTGGTTCCTGTCAGCTCAGTTACCTGGAGAACTGGGTACTGAGATGCAGAGAAACCGGGATCAGGTGGGTTATACAGGTGGCTTATAAGGACACACAGTATGGATAAGATAAGTCAGCCTGACTGGGAGACCTGAGCCCGTGCTTCCGTACATCAAGGTGCTGTGTGAGTGCTGCTTGTGAGCACACACCTGCTCATGTGGCCCGTGCGAGGGTTTCCACGGCCAGCAGTTACTGAACTCATGAGCTGGCCCTTTGGACACGCATATTTTTTTTGTGGATCAGTGTCCAGGGGAGACTGACCCTTGCCCAGAACTCCTAGACCTAGGCTGAAGTCCCCTTTGGGGCTCCCGAGACACTCGAGTGTTTCTCTGGGCTCTTGTACTCGGAGTTTTTCCCCTTCAGAGGGCGGTTTCCCTTGGATGTGTGTAGTTACCTCTCTTCTTTACTATTTCTCCTTCAAGTTCTGAATTACTAGAAAGCAACAAGAAGAGGGAGGAGCTAGAAAAGCAGCTAAAAGAGAGCAAGGAAGAAAAACGGTTGTTACTGGAAGAGATTGCCCAGCTGAAACACGACATCCTGACTGCCCGGGAGCGGGGCGAGAGCACGTCTGGAGAGACGCTGGGGATGAGCCGAGGGATGGTGCCTGCAGAGAGCAGGTGTCCTGAGTCACAGAGCTCTGCAGGCAGTGTAGATGGGAGTGTTAAACAGGTATGGGCAGCTTTGCCGTCTGCACTGTACTTTTTCTTTCACTAATTTAGTGGCAAAACCTAATTAAAGTGGACTGGAAGCCAGGCCTGCTGTGTTAGCACGCAGGGGAAGGAGGAGGCTGGCTGATTTACTTAGGGAAAAATGTTTGGAAATTATGAATGTCACCATTTCATACCTGGGGAGGAACAACCTCCTGCACCAGTAAAGGTTGGGGGTGATCTTCTGGAGAGCAGCTTTGAAGAAAAGACCTGGGAGTCCTGGTGGCCAACAGGATGCCCAGGAGCCAGCAATGGGCCCTGGTGGCCAAGAAGCCAATGGCATCCTGGGGGGCATGAGGAAGAGTGTGAGCAGCAGGTGGAGGGAGGTCATCCTGCCCCTCTGCTCTGCCCTGGGGAGGCCCCATCTGGAGCACTGGGACCAGTTCTGGGCTCCCCAGTCCCAGAAGGACAGGGAACTTCTGGAGAGGGTCCAGCAGAGGACCACAAAGATGCTGAGGGGCCTGGAGCATCTCTGTGCTGAGGAAAGGCTGAGGGACTTGGGTCTGTTCAGTCTGGAGAAGAGAAGAACGAGGAGAGATCTGATGCCACCTTAAAGGGTGTGTATAAGGAGGATGGGGCCAGGCTTTTTCCAGTGGTGCCCAGCGCCAGGACAAGAAGGAATGGGCACAAACTTGAACATGGAAAGGTCTATCTAAATATGAGGAGGAACTTGTTTGCTGTGAGGGTGGCAGAGCCCTGGCAGAGGCTGCCCAGAGAGGTGGTGGAGTCTCCTTCTCTGGAGACATTCCAACCCCCCCTGGACACGTTCCTGTGGGACCTGCTCTGGGTGACCCTGCTCTGGCCGGGGGTTGGACTGGGTGATCTCCAGAGGTCTCTTCCAACCCCATGGCATTCTGTGATTCTGTGATTTCCTTCTGTTGTGTTTTTGGGTGTAGTGGGAACTTGGATAAACTGAACGGCCCCCTTAGTGCTCATGAAAGAAGTGAGACAGTCCTTCAGTGATGTTTTAAACCTTTTTGGAGCTCTTTCTGAACCCCTTTTTGTGCTGTGAGCGATGGAGCTGGCTTGCTGTTCCCACAGCAGCCTTGTTCTTGCCATAGGCAGAAGCTGCTCTGCTTCCCTGCTTCTCCTTGTGATTTTCTGCTCTTACACCCCAGTGCTTGAACTTGTCCCACTGCTGCTGCCCTGTCCGTGTGTCTCAGTCCCTGCTCTCCAGCTGCTCTACCAGCTGGTGGGCAAGACCAACATTTGTCGCTACATTTAGCCATGTTTTAAATGGAATTTGTTCACCTTTCTTACTGTGGGGTCTAAAAAAGAAAGGGAAGAGCAGCCAGACCTGCCAAAAGGGGAAGAAATGGTGAAGGTACCCAGGAGGAGGAGCAGGGATTATACACAAGAGTTTGGAAGAGAGGACGAGGTGGCCTGTAGTGGATGGGAGAGGATCCGAGTCATGCTGATATCAAGCAGCAGCAGATCTGTAGAGTCAGAGCAGACCAAAGCAAGACACGGGGTGTAGAGGGGAGGCTGGAAAGGATCCCGATAGAAGCAGGTGGGGGAATAATCCCACAAAACCAAACTGATCTCGAGGACAAACAAAATTGCCAGATCCCACAGTGCTGGATCCTGACTTCTCAGCCTGGGAATTTATCTGAGAAGGGAAGCTTGACCTTCAGGGGATTTCCTCTGATCCCAAGAAGAGAGGGTGAAGGCGCAGAGCAGGAATGCAGGTGGGCAGTCAGCTGACAGCGATGATGGGAAGAAGGGGTTTGGAACACCAAAAGTGGCAACAGCTTTTGGTCTGTGTACAAGGCACTTGTGAGAAGACGGGTGAACCAAAGAGCTCAGTCATCTTCTGAACACCATCGCAGGCCATTGGTGACCATCTCCTGGTGTCCAGGCCAGCGTGTCTGTTCCTGCACCGCTGCCAGGACTTGTTTTGCTCCTGCTCCAGGAGCTGTGGCTGGATGGGCCATTCCTTGCTCAGCTGCCTTAGTGAGGCTCTGGCACAAGAATTAAGAGCAACCCAGGTGGTTTGGCTTTTGTTTGACAGGTTAGTTTTAATGGGGAATTGTTTCCTCATCCAGGTTATTGTATCTTTTCCCTCGACTTCAAGAGCTGTATTGGCTTCTCTGAGAGGATGGACAGGGCAGGGAGGAGGAGAGAGTGTGGGGCCGGAAGAAATGCTTGCCTGGCTTTACCCATCTTCCTGCTTAAATGCCCTTAAATCCTCCTGGCATACCTGTACCATTCTTAATTACCACTCTTTATCTTTCCTTGAAGTTAATTTCCGTGTCATTTTGCTGTTCCTGCAGAGTCTGTCCGAGGAGAGATTCCAGCAGCAGGAGGAAAAAATGCAGCAACTGCGGCAGGACTTGCGTCGCGTTCAGAACCTGTGCAGCTCAGCTGAGAGGGAGCTGAGATACGAGAGGGAGAGGAACGCTGACCTGCAAAAGCAAAACTTCTTGCTCCAACAGGAATGCACCAAGGTAGGAACAGAGCAGGGAGAACTGTTTGGAGATGGCATCACGTCATTTTACAAGTCGAGGGAGGTCTGAGGTGCTGATTTCACAGAGTCACAGGGTGGGAGGGGTTGGAAGGGAGCTCTGGAGATCACCCAGTCCAACACCCTGTCACAGCAGGGCCACCCAGAGCAGGTCCCACAGGAACGTGTCCAGGGGGGTTTGAATGTCTCCAGAGAAGGAGACTCCACCACCTCTCTGGGCAGACTCTTCCAGGGCTCTGCCACCCTCACAGCAAAGAAGTTTTTTCTCATGTTGAGACAGAACTTCCTGTGTTCCAGTTTGTGCCCGTTGCCCCTTGTCCTGTCACCACTGAGAAGAGTCTGGCCCCATCCTCCTCATACTCACCCTTTAGATATTGATGGGCATCGATGAGATCCCTCTCAGCCTGCTCTTCTCCAGACTGAACAGACCCAAGTACCTCAGCCTTTCCTCAGCACAGAGATGCTCCAGGCCCCTCAGCATCTCTGTACCCTCTGCTGTCCCCTCTCCAGCAGTTCCCTGTCCTTCTGGAACTGGGCAGCCCAGAACTGGTCCCAGTGCTCCAGATGGGGCCTCCCCAGGGCAGAGCAGAGGGGCAGGATGACCTCCCTCCACCTGCTGCTCACCCTCTTCCTGATGCCCCCCAGGATGCCATTGGCTTCTTGGCCACCAGGGCCCATTGCTGGCTCCTGGGCATCCTGTTGGCCACCAGGACTCCCAGGTCTCTCTCTCCAGCAGGTCACCCCCAACCTGTCCTGGTTATTCCTCCCCAGGTGCAGCACCCTGCACTTGCCCTTGTTGGATTTCATCCAGTTCCTCTCTGCCCAACTCTCCAGCCTGTCCAGGTCTCACTGGATGGTGGCACAGCCTTCTGGGGTGTCAGCCACCCCTCCCAGCTTTGTGCCATCAGCAAACGTGCTGAGGGGACACTCCATCCCATCATCTAGTCGTTGATGAATTGATGAATATTGAAGAGAACTGGAGCCAGTACTGACCCCTGGGGAACACTGATAGGCCTCCAATTTGACATTTTGACAGACTGGACCTCGTTTACGTTTGGCTGTACTGTCCCTGGGGCTCTCAAGCGGGCTCTGTCTCAGCTTCATGGATGTAGAACTGTGTGTGTGATGCACTTGCTCCCTGAATTTCTCTTTTATTTGCTCCCTGGTGATCCTGTTGCCCCTTTCCTAATCAAGACATCTCAGATGTTGAAGTGCAAACTTGATTTCTTCTTCTTCTGGAACTCAGGTCAAAGCTGAGCTGAAGCAGGCCAGGGCAAAGCTCTCAGACACAATGGAAACGTGCTCTTCCCTCTCAGCCCAGTGGGAGAAAAGCCAGCAGAAAGTCAAAGACCTGGAACAAGAGCTCTCCAAGTGCTCCCAGGCTGATAAGCTGCAGAGCAGTCTGCAGGAGAAACTCGCGCAGGAGAAATCCAAAGTGTGTGAAGCACAAAAGAAGGTAACTCATCAGCGCGAGCCCAGTTAATGGGAGGGAGGTTTTAGCAGTTTTGTGCAACTGTAGTTCAAAAAAAAAAAAAAAAGAAGCTCATGAATCAGTTCCCCCAAGTCCATTTGTCAGCGCGAGCCCAGTTAACGGGAGGGAGGTTTTTAGCAGTTCCGTGCAACTGTAGTTCAAAAAAAAAAAAAAAAGAAGCTCATGAATCAGTTCCCCCAAGTCCATTTTGCAAGTCTGTTTTGAGATCACTTGGCTAAATATTTTAGGAAAAATGTCTGTTATTAGTGGGAGCATCATTGAGACAACAGAAGCCAAATCTGACGGCTCAGCTCCCGTCTCTAAAGCCTGGTTTCTCGGAGAACACTGGTGATGTGGCTGGCACCACAGGAGCCCAGCTCACCTTCCTGCTGAGGAGATTTGCTGCTGTTTGCAATCTGGGGAGCAGCAAAAGCTTGTGTTTTCCATGGCATCCATTCTGCCACATTCCTGCACTAATCGTTGAACTCAGTTTTGAGGTGTGCAGGGTCAAATCAGGTGCAAAAAGGGTTGTTGCTAGTTCATGGCGTAGTGTCTGATCCAAAATCTGGTAGCCCTTGGAAGGGTTTTACTTTTAATGGACTTTGACACAAAGACATGCAGAAGTACTTTTGAGTAGAAGGAAGCAGATCTTTGATTCCCATGACCCGGATACTGAAGGATTGAAGGGATCTCAGTCCTTTGGATTCAGTGCTGGCCTGTAAATTCAGAAAGTTTAATCCGTGTCCAATTTTAATCCGAGATTTCAAAACTCCAGCAAAAGCTAAAAGATTCCCAACACCAACTCCTGCTGGCAGAGGCCCGTGTTTCAGACAAGAAACTCCTGGAGGAGGAGCTGAAGGAGGCCCGAGAAAATGAAGCTCGTGTGCAGCAGGAACTTCACGAGGAGCAGCTGAAGAGGTACCATGAGTGGGTGAGGGCTGAGCTGCGGGCGCAGGGGAGGTGTGTGCCAGCAAACATGCCCTGCCAGCCATCCCTGCAGCTCCCTGCCCGGCCCTGCTGGGCTCAAGGAGTCACACTGCACCGCTGGTGTCATCTCCTACCTCTCCTTTTCACCTGCCAATGTCCTGGCAGAGCTCCACAGGACCAGCTCTTTGAGAGTGAATAGACTTATGGAGGCTTCAGCTGCCTCCTGCTGGCCCAGTGATTTGGTTTACCCCGGAGATGCCAGCAGCAGCCCTTCTTGTGCAGCTGGGATTGGTGATTGATTGATACTGGGAGCAGCCCTGAGGAGAAGGGTTTGGGCGTGTTGGTGGACGAGAAGCTAAACATGAGCTGGCAACATGTGCTGGCAGCCCAACAAGCCCCCTGCACCCTGGGCTGCATCCCCAGCAGCGTGGCCAGCAGGGTGAGGGGGGGGACTCTGCCCCTCTGCTCTGGGGACATCCCACCTGGAGCACTGTGTCCAGCTCTGGAGTCCTCAGCACAGAAGGACACGGAGCTGTTGGAGTGGGGCCAGAGGAGGCTCCGGAGATGCTGGGAGGGCTGGAGCCCCTCTGCTGGAAGGGGGGGCTGAGAGAGTTGGGGGGGTCTCTGGATCAGGGAGGGGGGCCCTAGGAGGAGGGGGAAGGGTTTGACCCTGAAAGAGGGGAGATGGAGCTGAGATGTGGGGAAGAACTTGTTTGGTGTGAGGGTGGTGAGAGCCTGGCCCAGGTTGCCCAGAGAAGCTGTGGCTGCCCCATCCCTGGAGGGGTTCAAGGGCAGGTTGGAGGGGGCTTGGAGCAACCTGGTGTGGTGGGAGGTGTCCCTGCCCAGGGCAGGGGGTGGCACTGGGGGGGCTTTAAGGTCCCTTCCAACCCAAGCCATTCTGTGATCCCAGATACATCATGGTCCCTTTCCCCTGAGACGTGAGGACAACCAGGACAGATACATCATGCTCCTTTCCCCTGAGACGTGAGGACAACCAGGATATACTGATTTCTTCCTGCCCTCAGTACTGCCCAGGGCAGGTGCAGAGCAGTGATCTTGTTTTTAGATCACAAGCCAGTCTTGAATTGACGGTGGGAGGTCACGGGCTGTCTCACTGTCACACCAACGTGCTTTTAGGAAGCTCCTGGAGCAGCAGGTGGAGGAGCTGAGGCAGCAGCTCCGGCATTCACGGGAGACAGAGGCATCACTGGCCAAGATGCACGTGGAGCTTCAGGCCAAGACCCTGCACGCCCTGGAAGATGAGAGGAAAACTGACTCCAGCGAGGTGAGCTGCAGCACGGATGGATTCTCATCCCCTGGGGTGATGCTGGGCTGGTGGCTGCCTCCAGAGCTGAGTCTCTCCACGGCTGACACTGAGCTCTAGGGGAAAATGGGATCATCCCAGTGGGAAATTGTGCCTGGGAACTGCTGAAATAGAGTCAAGTCCAGCTGGGTGCTGAGCCCTTGCGGATCCCACTGATTTAAAGAGGAGCTGGCAACAAAGCACCATCCTGTCTTGCTTAGGTCTCCTGAGGATGAAGCTCTGAGGGCACCAGGGGAGGACTTGATGGCTCCTTCCCCTCTCCTTTCCCCTTTTTGTGCGGAACATTGAGCTTTTTGAAGGAAAACCTTGGCAGAGTCCATTGTCTGGGAGGGTGTTACCTCTCCCTGTCCTGTAGCAGCCAACAGCTCCCCTAGCAGCACAGAAATCCACAGTCCCCCTTCTTTAAAGGGAGGAGGCAGTGGTTTTGGGAGGCAGAACAGATGGGTATTATCTGTGGTGGGAACTGCTAGGATTTATGACGGAGAAGCTTTGGATACCAGACTGAAAGGGGGCAGAGGGACCCCTACAGCTGAGAACACACACACAAGTAAAAAATAGATGTTTTCCAGCACCTCCAGTGTCAAAAGGAGAACCAGAAGCTTTCAGAGCAACTGTCACTGCTGAAGGAGGAAAACAAAGCCCTTTACGAGGAAGGAATCCGTCTCCTGAACCAGAAGGATCTGTACGTCAGGTAATGAGGGCAGAGCAGGGGAAGTGTAGAGAGAAAAAAACCTACCCAGGAGTTGCATTTATGTCCTTGGCAGTGACACCAGACGCTGTTCTGTAGCCTCTCTTGTCTCTCCTGTTCAAGGTGTAAAGCAGGGAGAGCTCTGCCTTAGCCCAGCCCCTCGGCGTGTGATTACATTACACGTTGCCTGTGTCTGCTGCTGTGCTCTGCAAGACAGAGCTCAGAGGGTTGTGATTAGTGACACAGAGTCCAGTTGGAGGTCTGGTACAAGTGGAGTCCCCAGGGGTCAGTACTGGGTCCAGTAATATGTGGTGTTCCCCAGGGGTCAGTACTGGGTCCAGTCCTCTTCAATATATTCATCAATGACTGGATGAGGGGATGGAGTGTCCCCTCAGCACGTTTGCTGATGGCACAAAGCTGGGAGGGGTGGCTGACACCCCAGAAGGCTGTGCCACCATCCAGAGAGACCTGGACAGGCTGGAGAGCTGGGCAGAGAGGAACTGGATAAAATCCAACAAGGGCAAGTGCAGGGTGCTGAACCTGGGAGAAAAGACATGGGAGACCTGGTGGCCAACAGGATGCCCAGGAGCCAGCAATGGGCCCTGGTGGCCAAGAAGCCAATGGCATCCTGGGGGGCATGAGGAAGAGTGTGAGCAGCAGGTGGAGGGAGGTCATCCTGCCCCTCTGCTCTGCCCTGGGGAGGCCCCATCTGGAGCACTGGGACCAGTTCTGGGCTGCCCAGTTCCAGAAGGACAGGGAACTGCTGGAGAGGGGACAGCAGAGGGTACAGAGATGCTGAGGGGCCTGGAGCATCTCTGTGCTGAGGAAAGGCTGAGGGACCTGGGTCTGTTCAGTCTGGAGAAGAGAAGGCTGAGGGGGGATCTAATCAATGCTTATAAATACTTCAAGGGAGGGTGTTAAGAGGATGGGGCCAGGCTTTTTCCAGTGGTGCCCAGGGACAGGACAAGAGGAAATGGGCACAAACTTGAACATGTGAAGTTCCATCTAAACATGAGGAGAAACTTCTTTGCTGTGAGGGTGGCAGAGCCCTGGCAGAGGCTGCCCAGAGAGGTGGTGGAGTCTCCTTCTCTGGAGACATTCAAACCCCCCTGGACATGTTCCTGTGGGACCTGCTCTGGGTGACCCTGCTCTGGGAGCGAGTTGGACTGGGTGATCTCCAGAGGTCTCTTCCAACCCCATAGCATTATGGGATTCTGTGATTTTCCTTGGCAGCCAGAGGCAGCGCAGGAACCAAAGCTGTGCCCTGGGAGGGCTGTGATTGCTGCTGGTTGGGGTCTGGCACAGGCAGAGATGCTAAATGGAGATGCTTGTGTCTCCCCAGAGCACTTTTCATCTTTTTTGAAACCTAGGCAGCCTTTTTGTCAGGAGTTTTGAGCAAATGTGGGGAAACAGCCCTTAGACAGTAGAGATTTCTGGGGGTTTTGGACATAATTTTCCCTTCTATCCCAACTGAATAAAAATAACCAAGAACCCTGCGTAAATGGGCCAAGTTTGAGGGGAAAAGCAACAACCACGAGTCTCCGCAGAGACAAATATTTATCCCCCGTGTCGCAGCTCTACAAGTGCTCACTGAAGTAGCGATTTCTGCAGCCCGTTTGCCTGTTCAGGATTCTTTGTCTGCCTTGTGATTCTCCTTGGCAGCCAGAGGCAGCACAGGAACCAAAGGGCACTGTAGAGAGGTTGGTGCTGGTCTCTTCTCACAGGTAATTAGTGACAGAACGAGAGGGAATGGCTTCAAGCTCCAACAGGGTAGGTTTAGATTGAACATTAGGAAGGAATTTTTCACCGAAAGAGTGGTTGGGCATTGGAACAGGCTGCCCAGGGAGGGGGTGGAGTCCCCATCCCTGGATGTGTTTAAGGGCCGTTTAGATGCAGTGCTGAGGGACATGGTGTAGGGGAGGACTTTGTAGAGTAGGGGAGATGGGATTCTGTGATTTTCCTTGGCAGCCAGAGGCAGCGCAGGAACCAAAGCTGTGCCCTGGGAGGGCTGTGATTGCTGCTGGTTGGGGTCTGGCACAGACAAAGATGCTACATGGAGATGCTTGTTTCTCCCCAGAGGACTTTCGATCTTTTTTGAAGCCTAGGCAGCCTTTTTGTCAGGAGTTTTGAGCAAATGTGGGGAAACAGCCCTTAGACAGTAGAGATTTTTGGGTTTTTTGGACATTATTTTCCCTTCTATCCCAACGGATGAAAATAACCAAGAGCCCTGCGTAAATGGGCAAAGTTTGAGGGGAAGAGCAACGACCACGAGTCTCCACAGAGACAAATATTTATCCCCCGTGTCGCAGCTCTACAAGTGCTCACTGAAGTAGTGATTTCTGCAGCCGTTTGCCTGTTCAGGATTCTTTGTCTGCCTTTCCCCCCCCATACAAAAGTCCTTCCCCTTAACCACCCACAGAAACAACTGACCCTTTCCCAGTTACTCCCAATTTTGGTGACTTTTTTTTTTGGTGACACCAATTTTGGTGACCAGGTGAACTCTGGTATAAAGAGCCCGCACGGGCGAGCGCAAGGAGTTAAAAGCTGGGGGTTGGTCTGGGGAACATTTTGGGTCCTTTTCCCTCAATCCATTTCCATTTGGCTGACACTAAACACTGTGACCTTTGCAACAACCCCCCCAGAATGATCAGTGAAAGGTGTAGTCTGGAAAGTGACTGTGCTCATTCTGTGCAGCCAAAAAGGAGCTGGGTCACGGAATCAGGGAATTGTCAGAGCTGGAAGGGACCTCTAGGGATCATCCAGTCCAACCTCCTGCCAAAGCAGGGCTGCCCAGAGCACATCACTCAGGAGCATCCAGGCAGGGCTTGAAGATCTCCAGAGAAGGGGACTCCACACCCTCCCTGGGCAGCCTCTGCCAGGGCTCTGCCACCCTCACCCCAAACAAGTTCTTCCTCAGATTTCAGTGGAACTTCCCATGGTCCAGCTTGTGCCCATTGCCCCTCGTCCTGTCACTGGGAACCACTGGAAAGAGTCCGGCTCCATCCTCCCTCAACCCACCCTTTAGACACTTGTCAGCATTAAGAAGGTCTCCCCTCAGCCTTCTCTTCTCCAGGCTCAAGAGCCCCAGCTCTCTCAGCCTTTCCTCAGCAGGGAGGTGCCCAAATCCCTCCATCATCTCTGTTGCCCTTCGCTGGACTCTCTCCAGCAGTTCCCTGTCCCTCTTGAACTGGGGAGCCCAGCACTGGAGGCAGGATTCCAGTTGTGGCCTCCCCAGTGCAGAGCAGAGGGGGAGAAGGACCTCCCTCCACCCACTGGCCACACTCTGCCCTACACAGCCCAGGGTGCCATTGGAATGGGTCAATGGCTGAGGTTCCCAGTCCAGGCTTTAAGGAGCTTGAATAAATACAGGATGTCTCCTGCCTTGCTCTTGACCCCAAAGACAAAAGCATTTCCCAGCCCGATGTTTGTTTCTGCCTCCCCAGGAAATACAACGAGATGCAGCTCCGCCACAAGGAGAAGATCCGCAGGGCCAAGGAGACCTATATCCACGAGGTGAAACAAAGGGACAGCAGAATTAAACAGCTTGAAAACGAGCTCAGCGAGTCCAAGCTCCAAGTGGAAAAGGTGAGAGAACACACCAAGGGAAGGTGGGAGAGCAGGGCACAGCGTCCCTGGAGCATCCCTTCTTCCAGAAACAAATGCAGTTTAGGAAAAAAGGAGATGAGTTTTAGGCAGAGCTGGTTTGCAGGGGACAGGGTTGCACAAGTGGAGAGTCGGAGCTCGGGGAGCTCTGCCTGATGCTCCGGCGCCGTGCGCGGGGCTGGCAATGCCCCGGGAATCCAGCAGCTCCAAGGGCCACCAGCCCATCCTTGTAGGAACACAAAGCCAAAAGGAAATGCCTGGCTTGGGTTTGTCCTCCGGGGAGCCCGTGTCCTCCAATCCCATTCTGAAACTGCCTGAGCTCCATCTTCTTTTGCCTCAGAAATCTTACTGCTGGAAAGTGACTCGAAAAGCCTCTTTTTTGGGGTGTGTTACATCAAAGAACGCGTCATTTCACGTGCTTGGTGGTCACCCCTCTGCTCAAGTGCTCTAAGGTTTGCAGAGGATTGTCATTAATGGAGCAGGGTCAAGTTGGAGGCCTGTAACCAGTGGTGTCCTCCAGGGATCCATACTCAGCCCAGTCCTGTTCAACATGTTCATCAATGACCTGGACAAGGGGACAGAGCGTATCCTCAGCAAGTTCTCTGGTGATGCCAAACTGGGAGGGCTGGCCAACACTGCAGAGGGCTGTGCCACCATCCAGTGTGATCTGGACAGGCTGGAGAGCGGGAAGAGAAGGACCTCATGAGGTTCAACAAGGGTAAATGTAGGGTCCTGCACCTGGGGAGGAAGGACCCCAGGCACCAGTAGATGTTAGGGGTGGAGCTGCTGGAAAGGAGGAGAAGGATCTGGGGGTCCTGGTGGACAGTGAACTCTCCAGGAGCCAGCAATAGGCCCTTGTGGCCAAGAGGCCAATGGGATCCTGGGCTGCGTAGGGCAGAGTGTGGCCAGTGGGTGGAGGGAGGTCATTCTCCCCCTCTGCTCTGCACTGGGGAGGCCACAACTGGAATCCTGCCTCCAGTGCTGGGCTCCCCAGTTCAAGAGGGACAGGGAACTGCTGGAGAGAGTCCAGCGAAGGGCAACAGAGATGATGGAGGGATTTGGGCACCTCCCTGCTGAGGAAAGGCTGAGAGAGCTGGGGCTCTTGAGCCTGGAGAAGAGAAGGCTGAGGGGAGACCTTCTTAATGCTTCCAAGGATCTAAAGGGTGGGTTGAGGGAGGATGGAGCCGGACTCTTTCCAGTGGTTCCCAGTGACAGGACGAGGGGCAACGGGCACAAGGAAGAGTGACACGTAACTGCTGGTTGTTATTTCCTTCTGCAACTGCTGCTCAGGGGAAGGTGCTGATCGCACAGATCACCGCTGAGAATGAGAAACTGCTCCAGGAGAGAAGACGGCTCCTCCAGAAGATCACTGACCAAGAGGAGAGCCCTTGGGGCAACCGCTCTACAACTGCCACCCTGCAGAGCAGGTAGGCACTCAGTGATCCCCACGCCTCTGGGAGCTGCCTCTTCCTAGCCTTTCTGTGGTTTTATGCTTATTTCTCTTTAGAAACCCAGAAGAAAGCCCAAATTATGCCCTGGTCACTAGCGCTGTGGCTTTTAATTGCTGTGGGATGTAATTAGCCCCTTTCCCCATCAAAGCCCTCGGCAAAGAGCTTTGGCTGTGGAGACCAGAGGATCTGAAGCTGAAAATGTCTCTTTGAAAGCGTAGTGTGGCTGGAAGGAAAATAACTTGTGCCTTGTCTGTGTGACGTGCTCAGAGGGAAGACCCTGGAGGAGGAGAACGTGCGGCTGCAGGAGAGCAAACTCCATCCCTCCGGCCACGTGCCCCCCTCGCAGCGCGGCCCGAGGAGCTCCTACGCTCCCAGCACGGAGGTGAGGCTGGGAGGGGGCTCGGTCGCAGGAGCTGACATCTCCTGGAGTGTGGGGTGGTGTTTGTAGCTGAGGGTGCCAGAGAAGAGCCCAGTTGGTCCTTTGGCTGGGATGGAAAGGAGCACCAGACAGACAGGAGGTGGCAACAGCTCTGTTGGTGAGGAGGGACTTTGGGGAGCTGGAAGCTCGATGCATTTTCCATCCCTGAGCTCCATCTCCTTTTTCACAAGGAGAGAAATTTCACTCAGGGTCTTTTGCAGATTTAGAGTTGTGAAAAGACCTTAGTTTTAAAGTTAGCTTTAAAATTAGGAGAAATAACCCAGAGCGGTGGGGTTGACTCCTCTAAGCCAAAAACCTTCAGACCAAGCTTGACCGAGAATATCAACTCCATTGAACTTGAATATGCCTTACCAAAAACTTGGGTTTGGATTGACCAACTTAATGAAGAACTTCGGGGGAGAAAGGGAGAAAAATCCGGGAAAGTCAAAGATTATGTTTCAACAACTCTTCAAAGAAAGCAGGTGGATTTGGCAGTTTATTGGTACATTTTGAAATTTGGAAGGAACCCAGTCAGGAAATGAGCTTTTAAGGATGAAAGTGCCTTCTGGAGCCTGGCAGAAAGAGCTGTTTTTGGGGTCCACTCAGTTTTATTTCTTTCTCTTTGTTTCATCTGAGCTAGTTAGAGTTTTGTTGTTTGTTTTTTTTTTTTTTTTTAGTTTAAATTCAGACCCAAAGGACAAATCTATGTTTGGTACCTCTGTGGGGCTGGAGTTCTGGGGGAAACCTGCCAGTGGAGCTGGAGGCAGTTTGAGGAGCAAGACTGTATGTTGAAATTCAGGGTCTGACGTGCTCCTCCTGCTCTGAAAGTCTCTCTTCTTCCCTCCAGGGCTCCAAGAGCGTTAACTTCTCCGAACGCCAACTACAGAGTAAGGTGTTGCCATCTCCCCGTGCCAGGTACCGTGGGGTAAAAGGAGGAGGCAGGGAATGCCTCTCTGCGTGCGGTGAGGGAGAAGTTGAGCGTTTTGGCTGCTCCACCATGTGCTTTCACCTCCCGGGGTCTTTATTTTGGTTTTTCGTTTTGGTCAAATTATATGCAAAACGGTATTAAAAGGACTTGATGTAGCTTAAAGAGGTGAAGAAGTAAATGTTTAAAAAGAAGTTGGGGAACACCGTGGGATTTAGGCTGATTCCGAGAAGAGTGACACGTAACTGCTGGTTGTTATTTCCTTCTGCAACTGCTGCTCAGGGGAAGGTGCTGATCGCACAGATCACTGCCGAGAATGAGAAACTGCTCCAGGAGAGAAGACGGCTCCTCCAGAAGATCACTGACCAAGAGGAGAGCCCTTGGGGCAACCGCTCTACAACTGCCACCCTGCAGAGCAGGTAGGCACTCAGTGATCCCCACGCCTCTGGGAGCTGCCTCTTCCTAGCCTTTCTGTGGTTTTATGCTTATTTCTCTTTAGAAACCCAGAAGAAAGCCCAAATTATGCCCTGGTCACTAGCGCTGTGGCTTTTAATTGCTGTGGGATGTAATTAGCCCCTTTCCCCATCAAAGCCCTCGGCAAAGAGCTTTGGCTGTGGAGACCAGAGGATCTGAAGCTGAAAATGTCTCTTTGAAAGCGTAGTGTGGCTGGAAGGAAAATAACTTGTGCCTTGTCTGTGTGACGTGCTCAGAGGGAAGACCCTGGAGGAGGAGAACGTGCGGCTGCAGGAGAGCAAACTCCATCCCTCCGGCCACGTGCCCCCCTCGCAGCGCGGCCCGAGGAGCTCCTACGCTCCCAGCACGGAGGTGAGGCTGGGAGGGGGCTCGGTCGCAGGAGCTGACATCTCCTGGAGTGTGGGGTGGTGTTTGTAGCTGAGGGTGCCAGAGAAGAGCCCAGTTGGTCCTTTGGCTGGGATGGAAAGGAGCACCAGACAGACAGGAGGTGGCAACAGCTCTGTTGGTGAGGAGGGACTTTGGGGAGCTGGAAGCTCGATGCATTTTCCATCCCTGAGCTCCATCTCCTTTTTCACAAGGACAGAAATTTCACTCAGGCTCTTTTGCAGATTTAGAGTTGTGAAAAGACCTTAGTTTTAAAGTTAGCTTTAAAATTAGGAGAAATAACCCAGAGCGGTGGGGTTGACTCCTCTAAGCCAAAAACCTTCAGACCAAGCTTGACCGAGAATATCAACTCCATTGAACTTGAATATGCCTTACCAAAAACTTGGGTTTGGATTGACCAACTTAATGAAGAACTTCGGGGGAGAAAGGGAGAAAAATCCGGGAAAGTCAAAGATTATGTTTCAACAACTCTTCAAAGAAAGCAGGTGGATTTGGAAGTTTATTGGTTCATTTTGAAATTTGGAAGGAACCCAGTCAGGAAATGAGCTTTTAAGGATGAAAGTGCCTTCTGGAGCCTGGCAGAAAGAGCTGTTTTTGGGGTCCACTCAGTTTTATTTCTTTCTCTTTGTTTCATCTGAGCTAGTTAGAGTTTTGTTGTTTGTTCCACCCAGAGCGGTGGGGTTGACTCCTATAAGCCAAAAACCTTCAGACCAAGCTTGACCGAGAATATCAACTCCATTGAACTTGAATATGCCTTACCAAAAACTTGGGTTTGGATTGACCAACTTAATGAAGAACTTCGGGGGAGAAAGGGAGAAAAATCCGGGAAAGTCAAAGATTATGTTTCAACAACTCTTCAAAGAAAGCAGGTGGATTTGGAAGTTTATTGGTTCATTTTGAAATTTGGAAGGAACCCAGTCAGGAAATGAGCTTTTAAGGATGAAAGTGCCTTCTGGAGCCTGGCAGAAAGAGCTGTTTTTGGGGTCCACTCAGTTTTATTTCTTTCTCTTTGTTTCATCTGAGCTAGTTAGAGTTTTGTTGTTTGGTTGTTTTTTTTTTTAGTTTAAATTCAGACCCAAAGGACAAATCTATGATTGGTACCTCTGTGGGACTGGAGTTCTGGGGGAAACGTGCCAGTGGAGCTGAAGGCAGTTTGAGGACCAAGACTGTATGTTGAAATCTGGGGCCTGACGTGCTCCTCCTGCTCTGAAAGTCTCTCTTCTTCCCTCCAGGGCTCCAAGAGCGTTAACTTCTCCGAACGCCAACTACAGAGTAAGGTGTTGCCATCTCCCCGTGCCAGGTACCGTGGGGTAAAAGGAGGAGGCAGGGAATGCCTCTCTGCGTGCGGTGAGGGAGAAGTTGAGCGTTTTGGCTGCTCCACCATGTGCTTTCACCTCCCGGGGTCTTTATTTTGGTTTTTCGTTTTGGTCAAATTATATGCAAAACGGTATTAAAAGGACTTGATGTAGCTTAAAGAGGTGAAGAAGTAAATGTTTAAAAAGAAGCTGGGGAACACCGTGGGATTTAGGAATTGGCTGGTGCTCAGGGGTTTTGGAGGAGTGTCTCTACGCGAGAGGTTCTGAGGCTCAGAGGAACCACTGCTGCCCAGAGCTGCGTGACCCACGGTGCCGGCCATGGGGCAGGAGGGAGCTGGAGATATTTCTCCACCGGTGAGTGCCAAAATGGGGCAGAGGAAGGCAGGGAGACTCTGCAGCTCTGGAGACGCAGCAGAGGGCTCCGTTATGGCCTTTGGGTGCTCTGGGAAGTGACAGAGGGTCTGAGGAGGGTCTGGGGTACGTGAGGGCCATCAACTTCTTGGCTGGAGGAAGAGTTTCGGAGCCTTATTCCAAGTGAAAGGCGTTGACCATGGCCCTGTGCTGCCTCCCCGAGGTGCTGGGAGCAGCGCTGGGGCTGCGCAGGTGGCGGAGGGTCAGAGTTTGCAGAATGTTTTAAGAGGCAAAATCTGTTTTCAGCTTCCCATCACGAGAACCACCAGACTCTCTCAGCACCCTGAAGGCCGCGCAAGACACGAAGCCTGAAGGAGAAGCTGAAAGCCAAGACTCATCCTTCTGCTTATCGCCCTCTCAGCCCTCAGAGATCGGGTACTTAAATGTAGCTTCTCCTGGAGACACCACAGCCTCCCAGCTGCAGGAGGAGAGCCGCAGCATCAGCTCCGAGAACTTCTAAACGGGGGGAAAAATGCTGGACTGCAAGTTTTTGGGCTCCTGTTGCCATGGGCTGACAAGGACTGCAGGGAAGAGTTGCCAAATTGACTGGTGATTTCTGTGATATATTTCAGCTAAATTATTCAACAGCTTTTTGGTTTTTTTTCAACTTACTCAACTGTAAATGAGTGTTTGTGTCATCCCAGATCCACCTGGAGGCTGGAATTTGCAGAGAAACCCAGCAAAGTGGAAAAGGGGTGGGGTGAAGTGTGTACTTCACCTTAACCTGAACTCATTATCTAGTCAAAAACTGGAAGTTTTGTAAATAAAACTCAAGGAAATTCCCTTCTGCCCTCTCTGATCCCCACCCCTCCCTGCCATGTGCCCGCTTTTCTCCATTCCCCTTAGTCTGTGCACGTGGAGGGAGATGGAGCAGATGAGGGCAACGTGAGGAGGAGAAAGGAGAATGTGTAGAGGGGTCCTGAAGATCTTGGAAGAGGACCTGAAGATCCAGAGAAGGAAAGAGAGTAGATCTTGGATGCTTACTAAGAATGATGGTCTGTGGGGGTGCTTGGGTGGGAGTGGAAGGGATCAGATGATGCAGAACAGGGTGTTGAGGGGATCTGTGCGTGCCAAGGGGGAAGCAGGAAGGATCAGAGTGAGCTGTGGGGAAGAGAAGGGATCTGAAGGCGCCTGAGTGGGACTGGAAGAGATCTGTGCTCACTGGGATGGGATGAGTGGGGATCAGTTTGTATGAGGGGAACCAAGGAACTGTGAGTGCTCAGAGGGGCCTCAAAAATAACGAACCAGCCTGAGGGCATCTGAGTGTGCCTTGTGGGGGGATGGAGGGCACCTGAACTGGCACAAAGGGCCACGGTGGGGATAAGGGCAGTCCCAATGGGATCTGCCATAAGGGGAGATATGGGATCTCCCAAAGGAGGGAACAGAGGATCTGTCTGTGACAACTAAGAGGATGTGAGCACACACAGAATCATAGAATCGTTTTGGTTGGAAGAGACCTCTAAGGTCATTGAGTCCAAACAACAACCCAGCACTGCCCAAACCCACCACCAACCCATGTCCTTCAGCACCACATCCGCCCAGCTTTTAGATACCTCCAGGGATGGTGACTCCATCGCTGCCCTGGGCAGCCTCTTCCAAGGCTTGACAACTCTTTGGGGAAGAAGTTTTTCCCAATATCCATCCTAAGCCTCCCCTGGCACAACTTGAGGCCGTTTCCTCTTGTCCCATGGCCTGTTCCTTGGGAGCAGAGACCGACCCCCCCTGGCTACACCCTCCTTTCAGGGAGTTGGAGAGAGCCAGAAGGTCTCCCCTCAGCCTCCTTTTCTCCAGGCTCAACACCCCCAGCTCCCTCACAAGTTCTCCAGACCCTTCTCCTTGCTCTCCAGACCCCTCACCAGCTCCGTTGCCCTTCTCTGGACCCGCTCCAGCCCCTCAATGTCTTTTTTGTGGTGAAGGACCCAAAACTGGACACAGCCCTTGAGGTGGGGACTCACCAGTGCCCAGTACAGGGGGATGGTCACTGCCCCAGTCCTGCTGGCCATACTGGTCCTGACACAGGCCAGGATGCTGCTGGCCACTTTGGTCACCTGTGCACACTGCTGGCTCACGTTCAGCCGACTGAATATGACTCGGATAGAGGTCATGGGAAAGGGCTGAGCCCGTCCCAGGAAGCCTGACCCCAGGGGCTGAGGAGTCCAGGCCAGGCACTGGTAGCCACAGGCCAGCACAGAGGGCATCTGGCTGGTGGGAAGTGTCCCAGAGGGACAGCTGTGAAGGGCACCCCCTAAACCCCGGAGGTGTTCATCCCATCATTCCTTCTGGCTCTTCCTCCCCCTCCACTCAGTGACTCCATCTCTTTACACCACACTTGGCTTCCAGGTGGACCCTCCTGGTTCCTCAGCTCCTGCCCCACGGGCCCCACTGGGGACACTCTTCCTCCCGGTGAGTTTCCCACGTGGGCTGGGGGACTGCAGAGAAGCCCTGGCTTCTCTAGTGCTGCCTTGTCCAGGCCCGGGAGAGAGGGGGGACCTGGGCTCAAACAGTCCTCTCTTCCCACTGAGGCGAGGCCATCTGAGAGGTCATTCCCAGACCATCTAAGGACCCTGAAGGTACATAAATCCATGGGACCTGATGAAATCCATCCACGGGTCCTGAGGGAGCTGGGGAATGAAGTTCCTAAGCTGCTTTCCATTATATTTGAGAAGTCACAGCAGTCTGGTGAAGTTCCTGCTGGCCGGAAAAGGGGAAACATAACCCCATATTCAAAAAGAGAAAAAAGAAAGAGCTGGGGAACTACAGGCCGGTCAGTCTCACCTCTGTGCCCAGCAAGATCATGGAGCAGATCCTCCTAGAATCTCTGCTACGGCACATGGAAAATAAGGAGGTGATTGGTGACAGCCAACATGGCTTCACTGAGAGCAAGTCATGCCTGACAAATGTGGTGGCCTTCCATGATGCTGCTACGGCCTTGGTAGATAAGGGGAAAGCAATAGACCTCTTCTACCTGGACTTATGCAACACGTTTGACACTGTCCTGCATGACATCATGGTCTCTAAACTGAAGAGACACATATTTGATGGATGGACCACTGGGTGGGTGAGGAACTGGCTGGATGGCTGCACTCAAAGGGTTGTGGTCAACGGCTCAATGTCCAAGCGGTGGCCAGTGACGAGTGCTGTCCCTCAGGGGTTGGCACTGGGACCAGTGCTGTTCAACGTCTTTGTTGGAGAGATGGACAGTGGGATTGAGGGCACCCTCTGCAAGTTTGCTGACGACATCAAGGTGTGGAGGGTCTGGAGGGAAGGGATGCCATCCAGAGGGACCTGGACAGGCCTGACGTGGGCCCCTGTGAACCTCATGAAGTCCAGCCAGGCCAAGTGCAAGGTCCTGCACCTGGGTCATGGCAATCCCAGAAACAAATACGGGTTGGGTGGAGAATGGCTGCAGAGCAGCCCTGAGGAGAAGGACTTGGGGATGTTGTTGGACGAGAAGCTCAACATGAGCCAGCAATGTACGCTGCCAGCCCAACAAGCCCCCTGTATCCTGGGCTGCATCCCCAGCAGCGTGGCCAGCAGGGCCAGGGGGGGGACTCTGCCCCTCTGCTCTGCTCTGGGGACACCCCACCTGGAGCACTGTGTCCAGCTCTGGAGTCCTCAGCACAGGAAGGACATGAACCTGTTGGAGTGGGGCCAGAGGAGGCCACAGAGATGCTGGGAGAGCTGGAGCCCCTCTGCTGGGAGGGGGGGCTGAGAGAGTTGGGGGGGTTCAGCCTGGAGAAGAGAAGGCTCCAGGGAGACCTTCAAGCCCCTTCCAGTCCCTCAAGGGGCTCCAGGAAAGCTGGGGAGGGACTCTGGATGAGGGAGGGGAGCCCTAGGAGGAGGGGGAAGGGTTTGACACTGAAAGAGGGGAGATGGAGATGGGATCTGGGGAAGAACTTGTTTGGTGTGAGGGTGGTGAGAGCCTGGCCCAGGTTGGCCCGAGAAGCTGTGGGTGCCCCATCCCTGGAGGGGTTCAAGGGCAGGTTGGAGGGTGTTTTGAAGCACCTGGTCTAGGACCAGGTCTTTGCAGAACCTCATGACCACCCTCCTTCATGGGCACACCAGAACTTCCTGAGGGATAACCCATTCCCCCCAGGGCCGCTAGAGGGCAGGCCGGAGTCCCTCTTCCTCGACGCCACTTCCGCTTCCTCCGCCACTTCCGCTTCCGGCAGAGGCGGCGGCAATGTCGGCCTTGGCGCTCAACCCCAACAACCCTGTGGTCTTCTTCGATGTCACCATCGGTGGGCAGGTGGGACAAGGCGCTGGCGCAGCCCCCGACCCCGACACCGCCCCCGGCCCC